AGTAGGGGTTTATCCCTTGTTCCCTGTTTCGAATTGTGTTTCCGGTTCCTTCTAAAGCGTTCTCGTTCTCCTTCATTCCCAGTAGACGATTGAATCTTAGCGGCATTATCGCATTACTTGAGGTGAATTGATAAAAAAAAAATATAATAATAATAATAATAATAATGATGATGGTAATAATAATATTGATGATGATGATAATAATAATATTGATGATGATGATGATGATAATGATGATAATAATAATGATGATAATAATAATGATGATAATAATAATAATGATAATAATAATGATAATAATGATGGTTGAGTGGACAAAGGAAGAGTTACCTACCCTGGAAAGAAAACCCCGAAACACCGTTTTTTGAGAATTATTCAAAAGTCAAATGTGATAATATAGGGTGTCCCTGCCCCCAAATTGTAGTCTAGCATAGCCTATTCTCGCTCAAATGATCTCAAATTTTAACAAAACGTGTAAAAACTAATTTGACTGTGTGGACTTATCTCAGTGAGAACCTACCAGGTTTGGGTTGGTTTCGTTTGTTTGACCCTCAATGGGGTATTTAATTCGGACAAGATTTTTAGGACAACTTGGTTTAGTTTAATTTGTTTGACGGCATATCAACCTCAATAGGTTATTTAATGTCGACAAGATTTTTTATTGCTGGTGATTTTTTAAAAAAATATGTTGCTGGTAATAATTCTTTTCCAAATATGTATTGCTTAAAAACATTTTGTTTTGACGTCAGTTTGGGAGTTAACTATTTGCCTATAGCTGGGACCCTAACAGGTGCTACCACCCCAGGTCAGGGTGAAACTGGGAACACCTGTAACTAAGGGGTCGTTCCATACCCCTCAAAACCTCCTAATCAGAGGCCGTTCTGCCGGATGGAGTTTATCGTTATATCCAGAACGGAATCTACCAGGAAGGGAAGGGCGTTCCAGTGATAATGACTATATACTGTTGAAAGGGGCCACCACATACATCTGTGATTTTTTTTTTAATGAAATGTTAGCAGTGGTTGCAAATCAAAGGGGTGCATTACAAAGGTAAGTCGTCAAGTAAGGAGTAAAGGTAATTTATACTTTATTATTACTCCGTCGACAGGAAGATAGTTCCATTTTTTTCATTGTATAGGGTGTCCCCCCCCACACACACAAAATGACATCATTTTGTAGTGTAATAACAGCCAATTTTCGCTCAAATGATCTCAAATTTTAACAAAATGTGTAAAAAATTAAGTTGAATGTGCTGACTTATTCAATGAGAATCTCTCAGAAAGGTGGATCAGATAATGACAATGTGCTCATATTACAATATTTTGTTATTGATGTTTTTCTCTAGCTCTCTGTTCGGTTGAAAATTCGAACAAATATCACCAGAAGAAGGCCGGAGCGTGCAGCGACCGGAACGTCATGAATATGGCAATAAAGATGAGAACAACAGTCCGAACGATGTAAATAGCATAAATAGGTACAATACTTCATTTCAGAAATATATATAGATCCTGAAGAAGGTCGGAGCGTGCAGCGACCGGAACGTCGTGAATATGGCAATAAAGATGAGGACAACAGTCCGAACGATGTAAAATATACTTCATTTATAAATAGGTACCAATACTTCATTTCAGAAATATATATAGATCCTGAAGAAGGTCGGAGCGTGCAGCGACCGGAACGTCGTGAATATGGCAATAAAGATGAGGACAACAGTTCGAACGATGTAAATAGTATAAATAGGTACAATACTTCATTTCAGAAATATATATAGATCCTGAAGAAGGTCGGAGTGTACAACGACCGGAACGTCGTGAATATGGCAATAAAGATTAGTCCGAACGATGTAAATAGTGTACAATACCTCATCTCAGAAATATATACAGATCCTGAAGAAGATCGGAGCGTATAATGGTTTAAAAGTTATGAATATGACAATAAAAATGAGGACAAATAGTGCCTGTTAGGGTCCAAGATATGGGCAAATAATTAACCCTCAAACTGGGATCAAAACACTATGAAAATGTAAAAATAGGTTTTAATACCAGCAATACATTTTTGTAAAAATAAAATTATTATTAGCACTACATTTCTTAGGGAATAATATTAGCAGCAATACATTTTTGTGAAAACAACAACAAAAAACTTTGCCAGCAATAAAAATCTTTCGGCATTAAATAACCCTTTTAGGTTGATATGCCCTAAACCAAACCAAACCAATATATACTGAGATAGATAGATAGATAGATAGATAGATAGATAGAACATATAACCAGCAATAAAAATCTTGTCGGCATTAAATAACCCATTGAGGTTGATATGCCGTAAAACAAAACAAACCAAACCAATATATACTTAGATAGATAGATAGAAAGAAAGAAAATATAACCAGTAATAAAAATCATGTCGGCATTAAATAACCCATTGAGATGGATATGCCGTAAAACAAACCAAACTAAACAGACGTAAAAATTAATTATCTCTTTTTTTTTTTTTCTTTCAGTTGACTCTCTGGGACACGGGCGGCATGGAGAGGATGAGTTTTATTGGGTCCAGTTATTACCGAGGTGCTGACGCTGCTCTCCTTTGTTACAGTTGCGAGAAACGCGAGACATTCACGATCCTTTCACAGTATATCCTGGACGTGGTGATGAACGCAGAAGGCGCGAAAATCTTCCTCTGCGGTAATATGGGCGACGAGGGCTCAGAAAGTGCGGTGACGGAGGCCGACGTGGAAAACTTCAAGCAGGAATGCGACGGTGTACTGTCCGGCGTCTACAAAGTCTCCGTTCAGGATAACAAGACCATTTTGGACATGTTCGAGGACATTGCCCGAGTCATGCATGATATTAAGGCCGACCGCATGTCCAGTGGCGGCTTCATGCTAGTACCGGCGGGAGACGATTTCCATCAGAACAAAAAGAAACGCTGCTTGCTTCTGTAGGGCGCGTTTTGAAAAACAACAACAACTACATACACACACACACACACACACATACACACAAACATGCACACACACAAAGAAGCATAATACAGAAAAAGACTGATAAAGAAACAATAAAACTGAATAAGAATTGTCATATCTATACTTATTATAAAAAAAAACGAAAAAAAATAATTAAAAAAAGAACACTATAGGGGTGCAATCAAAATGAACTTCCAAAAAAATAAGAGAAATCTCTAGATTTAGTCGGGTTATATCTGGGGAAGGACACCCTGTATATATATATATATATATATATATATATATATATATATATATATATATATGTGTGTGTGCAACAAAAACTTTTATATACTCTTTTTTATATTCTGCAAATACATTTATTATTATTATTGTTGTTGTTGTTGCTTATTTCTTTTTATTAACTGTTTAATCCATTCATTTATCAAGTTTTTCAGCTTAGGGTTCAAATCAGGGAAGCCCCGGTTCACTGAGTGACTATTTGGCCTCAAACTCACTCCAGAACTTAACTATGGCTGTAGCAGAGATTTTTTTTTTTTGGCAAAAATATTTAGTTTTTCTTTTTTTTTTTTTCTCTTTCTTGTATTTCTTTCTTTATTGTATTTTGTTAAAGTAAAACCCTGTAAAAAAAAAAAAAATACTACGATTGGTTAAAAAAAAAAAAAAAATGAGAGGCCAAGGCCAACTCCCGACATCTATGAGAGAGAAGAACATTCAACACATTACCAACAAACAGAGACATTTGAACAAAATTGAAAAAAAAATTAATTAATGTGTTGAATGTGTTCATGTCTCTTAGCAATTTGTTTTTATATACAATTTGAGAAAACTATTCATTCTCATTAAATAAGCCTGTATATATGCAATTGATGAGGTGAGTGCTGAAAATACTCTGTTTGACTCACTTACCAGAAACAGCATTACAATAAGTATAATATATATTTAAAAAATCCACATTATAACCAAAAACGTTTGTAGTTTCTCTCTTCTGTTTATATATATATATATATATATATATATACACCCAAGTATATAATTGGTGTATACGGAATGAATTCACATAACCAACAATTACTATTCTTAAAAGAGTGCTCGATACAGAGTAGAGCAGATATAATTATTTATTTAAAAAATTAAAACATAAATATGTTATAAAATCACTACAAATATAAGACATCGGAGGCTATTTTTGTAGTGATTTTATGACATATTTATGTTATAATTTTTTAAATAAATAATTATATATATATATATATATATATATATATATATGCGTGTGTGTGTGAGACACGGTGAAGTATAGCGGGGCTCGGATTGAGGAACTCTGAGTTCCGAGTACGAATTCCAGTCGAATCCATTACATTCACTTACGTGCTAATACCCTAGGGTTGAATCATCTTCTTCTCCCTCCAGCTATGGGTAAATAGAAGGACAGACTGGGTTCTATAGCCTTGGATGGCAACTGGTCTAGGAGAAATACAACTTTGAATTCAAAACCTTTGGAGGGTCGTCTGGGGACCTTGTGGAGCGTAGTACATCAGATCTCTGCATTCAGCTCTTCAAAAAGTGTGGATGGTTCTACAGAAAGCCTTCACCCCTATAATCAAATCTTAAGTGCTGGTGTCTGGCTGTCGGTTCCTAGGAAGTGAGCTACTTGACCCTCATACGTCGAATACAACGAGAGAGCATATATATATATATATATATATATATATATATATATATATATATATATATACACACAAGTATAGGATTGGTGTATACGGAATAAATTCCAATAACCAACAAATACTATTCTTAAAAGAATGCTCAACACACACACAGTATTATTCAAAAAGAGCAGATTTCGAAAATTTAATACAAACAAATGCTATGATAGGGCCGTACAAGAAACAAATATTTTGTTTTTGGCGGGGGCTGGAGCAAAAAATATTTGAACGGTAGACCGTGAATATCCGGTATTTTTCGATCAGGGTTAGTCTTTTTGTCTTCTTCCTCTTTTTATTTGAAAGAGAAATATATAGAGAGAAAAGCGTAGAAAAAGAGATAATGCTTTAATTTGAATTCTTTTCTATTTGTACATTTCTAGTTTTATTTTTTATTTTCTTGGACTCACCACAATTCCAAATTAAAATCAAAACGCACCCACGCGATAAAAGGAAATTACCATCATCGTACACCTTTTTAGAGAATAATTATTTCATTAAGATTTTATGAAGGTCATATTCTTCCTTGATTTGATCGTTCTTTTTCTTTCTTTTATTTGTTGCTTTTGTTAAAATAAAAAAAAAAAATAGTGGAGATGCTAAGACCCCCCCTCCCCGGCTGCTACAGCTCTGAACCCGTACATACGATCCCTCGCTAAAAATGGCCGATCCAAGAAGTACCTTGCATCTCGTGCTACCCTCTACCTTTACAAGAACCAGGTCGGGCCTAAAATGGAACACTGCTATCATATTTGGTCAGGGGCTGTCCAGTCTTCACTTTCTAGCTTCGATAGAGTCCAAAAGCGTCTGCCCGTCCTTGTAGGGTGACAAATTATGTTTTACCCTGCCACGCCTCTCTCTCACAGACAAGGTGTCGCAAGCCACACGCTGCTCTATCGCTACTGCTATGGAAAGTGATCTAACAAACTACATGTGAAAGTGAGAGAAATGACTGGGTTATTGGGGGGATTGCGGAAAGGACAAAATATAATCGGGATTCAAGATGGCGATTGAGGTTGCATTTAAATTTTTGAAGATTGTAGTTTTCAGGGAAGCAAATAAAGTAAGTTCCACAGGTGGGAAGTGCGAGAAAAGAAGCTGTTGGAGTAGAAGCGGCGATTACATTTAACTATTTCAGTAGTAAAAGTAGTGGGACCTAGATGCCAATCTAGTAGCACGCTTAAATTCATGTAGTCGGGGCACTAGGGAAAAAAGCTCGCCAGGGCAGCAGCAATGATTATATTTGTAGAAAAGGCAAAAGGAATCCACGTCACGCCGGTGAGAAAGTGACTGATGTCGAGATGCCAAGTCAGAATCGATTATATAGCAGAACCTTCCTTGGATTTTGTCAAGGCACTTGAGATGAATAGCAGGAGCACCAGAACATATGGCAAGAGTATTCAATGCACGGACGAATGGTAGATTTGTAAATGTGCAAGATGGACGAGAAAAAAAAAAAAAAACTGGCATAACACAGTGAACAGACTTTCCTTGCAGTAGATGCAGTTATTGATTCAATGTAGTCGTTCAACTTCAAGTCATTTGAAAACGTGACCAAGAAGGCGCAGTGTGGTGCTCTCCAGGAGCTGAGCTTCAACCATACTGATGGCGGGCAATGAAATTTCTCTATGGTGGTTACATGAGAGCAGTTTCGTTTTGGAGGCATTGAAAATTACAGGTCAATTCTTACCCCAGTTAACCACTGACTGGAGATCCTTTCGTAGGTTAACTTTGTCAGTTCTGACGGATTTGCGATTTTAGTGTAGCGGACCTAAAAAAACAATTGGTTGGGCTATATATTTTTCCTCCATTCATTTTCTTCGCCGCGAGCATTTATATCAAGTAGGTGCGAATTTTAGCTTAGGTCTACGTCCGCACCCTACGTCATTGACAGCCGTCGTAAACATATAAATAGCGCAGAAATTTTCAGTTCAGCAGAGAGAAATCCGCCAGCTACTGAGATTCATGTCGGCAGATGGAAGGAAAGCAACGACCGCGGCCAAAGAACGAACGCTCTGATTCACGACATTGTCATGGTAACCAGTTTAAGAACTGAGAACACCCCATTTTAGCGACACCAGTTAAGTACTGTTTCACGGACACTTTTTTTTCTACTTACTATCCTCGCAAATGTAATTAAGGAAAAAAAAAACTTGCATTATTTGGACTTTTATCCTCATCTTCATTGTCATATTTACAACGTTTCGGCCGTTATACGCTCCGGCCTTCTTCAGGTGATTGAAATTTCGAACCGAACCCTTTATTTCGTCCACCGGGGTAGATTTTTCTAGTTCCACGTGCCGTGCATCTTCAGCATGTCTTAGATATTTCCCATTGCCTCAACTCTCAAGTTTTGGTTCCCCACTGCTGTGGCCTGGTATTGAACTCACAACTATTTGGGTCTAGTCACTGGACCTAACCAACATCTTTATCCGCTAAGCCCCAAGGACATATGGGCTAGGGTAATTTTTGTCCTTGACCAGAGTGTATGTGCTCGGGTTCCCCACTTTAAAACCGACCTTGTGTCATATCCCGTTTCAGTGGAGGAGCCATGGTAAATAGCCATACCATTGTAATAGATGTAAATATGTAATCAGTGAACTGAACAGAAGTTATATTTCAATTTTTTGTCTTTTTTAAATGGAAAAATTTATTAATCCGTGGCAAATGTTCAGATAAGCTTCATGCTTTAGTTTCCCCAATTTATACCTGACATCTCAACTTTAATCCTTTTCCCGCCACCATAAAGTAGCTTCATTGTGCTTTTTCTATATTTTCTGATGTGCTCTTCTCTTTGATACTTTGACTTCACAAATTTAAGCATAGTACTAGATTGGCAGTTAGGTCTCATCATTTTAGAATTGAAATAGTAAAATTCTTATGATTTCTCCTAACACTGGTGGAATTTTCTTCTAGCTTCTTGCTTTCCTGTCAACTAAAATCCTCAAAAATTTAAATACAATCACCATCTTCTGACTTTTTGAAAATCTTGTTCTTTTAGCCCTTCTTGCCTCTAACATTTCCTCATATTCTTTCACACTCAGTAACCCTTTGCGTCTTAGTGCTTCTATTGCCTTGCTCAGGGTGAAATGATTTTATAAAATAAAATAAGAAAGGGAGCTGTTTTATAGTTATTTTTCTAAGCATAGATTAGATGCGACACTGAAAGTAAGGGGGCCCCCAAGTGAGGAACAAACTCACTAATCAGCCATAACTGTTCTTGTGAGACGAGTTTGCTAACCATAACACCAAATCAAAGTGTCCAAAGCAACTTTTCTATGAATGTGAGCTGTATTCCTTAATACAATCTCTTGTATTTCAGGTTAGGCAATGATGCCAGTGAATGTCATTTGTGTGAAAACAGTCTTCCCAGAAGCTGTTGAGTTCAAAGATCACTTTCGTCAAATGGTTCATTTCACGGAGGAGGTGAAAAGTGAAAAAAAAAAATAAAAAAATATTATAAAATGAAATGGATATAACTTAAATGATTATAGTGTTTCTTTTTTAAAAATTATGTATTATTTAAAGTTTATTTACATTTTTTGAACTGTTATCCTCATCTTCATTGCCATATTCATGTTTCGGCTGGTGTACACTCTGGCCTTCTTCAGGTGATTGGAATTTTAAAACAAACCCTTTATTTCGTCCACCACGGTAGATTGTTCTAGTTCCACCTGCCATGCCTCTTCTGGATGTCTCAGTTATTTCCCTTAAACTCAACTCTCCAAGTTCTGGTTCACCACTGCTGTGGCCTGGTATTGAACTCACATAGCCCAGTGGATAAAGACCTTGGTTAGATCCAGTGACTAGACCCAAAGAGTTGTGTGTTCAGGCCAAAAACTTAGAGAGTTCAGTTAAAGGGAAATAACTGAGACATTTCGAAGTGGCATGGCATGTGGAACGCGAACAAACCAACCCACTGGACGAAATGAAGAGTTCAGTTCAAAATTCAATCACCTGAAGTAGGTCTGAGAATACATTGGCTGAAATGTTGTGAAGATGTCAGTGAAGATGAGGATAACAGTCTAAATGTAAATAATGCTAGCAATCATAACACCTAATCTCAGAGACACAGAGAGATATTGAAGAAACATTCCAATCATCTCAATAAGGCCGGTGCGTAGAATGGCCGAAATGTGACTATGGCAATGAAGATGAGGATAACAATCCGAGTAATGCAAATAATGCTAACAATCATAATACCGCATCTCAGAGATATAGACAGATATTTAAAGATTGTATTGTTTATTGACAATAAGAAAAACAAACTAAATTTTCTCCATAAATTCATCATTAAAGTCTTCATTCATATAATAATATCTGCTTAATAATTTTTTATCCTCAGATGAATTAAAAATGAGCAAAAAAAAAAAAAAACAACATACATCAGGAAAATAACAAGACACCATTCAACACTTTCCCTTTTAACTTAATTCCCCCCCCCTCCAACTATGAAGATTCTTGGGTTGTTTCGTTTTTATTTCAGAAATGCAATCAATAGCAATCACCATCAACAATGAAGTCAGGCAACCAATATGCGACCAATGTCACCTCTGGTGCCCTGAGAAGCCAACTGTCGAACCAAGCTCATCATATGCAAGATCTTTTGAGCAATTTATCTTGATGTAGGCTCTGGAATCTGGCCTGTTGACTTATAGAATGTATGTTCTGATTGATTTGTTTTGTTTGCGTCTTTTAAAGCTTAGCAAGCTTTTGTGGGTTGATAACATTTTGGATTGTCGGAGGTTACTTACAATGTCCAGTGTTTCCCGATCTAAGTACTTACCAGACTCAATGCTGAACTAAAACTGGTGTTTTCAGTGCAATTTGACCATTGATGATCAGAATGTTTCATGATGGCCAAAGCAAAGTAACAATATTCTAGTGCAATGGGGTCTACTTGTTTGGTTTGGACACCCATGTAGTCAAGTGGACTGTAAAATAATTTCATCTAACTTTATGACTACCAACTGCATTGCCAGAAAAATCCAGATGTGAAAGTTTCAAAGCGACCAGCTACTGTTCATAGGCATGGAAAACAAAACAAAAAAACCCCCCAAAAAACTGGCAAACAGACGACTGTGACTACAAAAAAGGAGTTTTTCCCATAATACAGCTTTTATATTGGGCGCAGGATGATTCATCAAATGCAAACAATGACTTGTTTTCATCGATTTTTTTTAAAAACAAAAATAATTTATTATTAAGGATCATTTTTTTAATACAGAACTTTATCTTTAATTTCAAAATTTATTAAAAATTGTATACAATTCCCCTCAAATATTCAGTTGGAGATCATTGTAAGAAAATTTATTTATCTGCCTTCATATAATGCTTCAATTTAAGTGGAGGAGGCGATAGTTTTCAATTAATTGCTGCGTAATCCAAAGACACTATTGCCGATGATAAAATTTTCTCCTTCTGGAATGTAATTTTTTTATTGGTGTAGCAACTCTTGAAGATCTCCAGGATATGGACGGGGGAGAGCTTACACCTTTCCTTTTGCATTTAATCATTTTCTTAATGGCTAAAGCTTCTACTAATGGATCCCAGTGTAAAATAGAAGAAACAACTTACAAAATTCTTTTCATCTGCCTTCATAGATGTCTTCAATTTAAAAGGAGGGGGATGACCTCCAAATAATTGCTTAAAAAATACATCTGTTTCCTAGCATCTCCGTAATGAATCTCTATATTGTAGGGGGTGCTCCATCCCCAGCTCTGTATGCAATCTGCACACTTTACTTACTTCTACATTGGACACATTGTAGGAATGCTTTTTTACTTCCTTGATAACTGCTCTAAACTTTGTATGATTCCTTGAATTGCATCCAAAAGAGCCTTGGTCACAACGCCAACATTTGATGTTGCTGTCTCTTTTACTAAATTTATCAATGCAAACAATGACTTTCAAATTCTCTACAACTGAAAAGCCGATTTAAGAGATGTGCACACTATGACAGCCAATACTGGTGAATCGGTAGTGATGAAATGTCCCCGATCACTTTTATTTTAGCTATTTGGTAATATTTATTGTTTTAAGAAGTGATAATTAGAATTGTAATAAAACCTAAAACGTATACATTTTTATACGTTTTTTTTTTTGTTTTTGAGTATTTACTGCAAAAATATTAAAAACACTAATGGCCTTTGTGTGCAGTTTTTTTTTATTCTCCTTTTTGACTAATAATTTCCATTTTCAGTGTGATGAAAACTTTGAAAATTAAACACTAGTCAGCCAAAATAGTGATTTATTAGTTACAAGACAAACAGCCAAACATCTTTCGGCTTCTTGCTTTCTTGTTAACTATGATCTTCAAAAATTAAAATATGTCAATCATAATCTTCTGCCTTGTTCAATTCTTCTCTATTATTGCCTTTCCTGTTTTCTCTTCTCTCAGTAAGCCACTTGCATCCGAGAGGCTTTTACCTCGCTTGAGTTGAATTGATTAAAAGAAATGTAATTAAAAAATCCTTGCTCTCAAGGAAAGTCTTAGAGTGCAAAGTGTTGATTATTATTAAGATAGAATACGCATCCATTATTAATACAAAAATAAGACATAAAAATAGCTCTTTACATTAGACATATTGAAAAATGGCTGGATGTCTTGATAAATTCATAAGGCATGCTTTATCATGTATGTAAACAAGAAAGTCTAACAAAATATTTCACAAATTCCCTGTATATTGTTTTTAATCAATCTCTCTATATATATATATATATATATATATATATATATGGGTACAGGATGACTTATCACTGTTGACTCATCTCCATGACAACTCAACAACATGCAAACTATGAAATATTTTCGTCGACTTTTTAAAAACAAATGAAAGCAATTTCTTAAGGATCATTTTTAAACTAACCGGGGACAAATTGTGTGAATATTTGTTTATTTCCTCGATAACTTCTCCAAACTTCATATGAATCCTTGCATTACACCTAGAACCTTGGTCACAATGTGAACATTTGATGTTACTGTCTCTTTTGCTAAACTTATCAAATACAAATAAATGGCATATGTGGGCAAATTTTATTTCCCTCTTTGACTAAGAATTTCCATTTTTGACGTGATGAAATATTTGAAAACTAAACATCACTCTTCCAAATAGTGATTTGTTAGTTACAACAGCCTAACTTTCAAATTCTCTACGATTGAAAAGCCGATTTAAGAGATGTGCACACTATGACAGCCAATACTGGTGAATCGGTAGTGATGAAATGTCCCCGATCACTTTTATTTTAGCTATTTGGTAATATTTATCGTTTTAAGAAGTGATAATTAGAATTGTAATAAAACCTAAAACGTATACATTTTTTTTTTGTTTTTGAGTATTTACTGCAAAAATATTAAAAACATTATTTATTTATTAGATTATTTATTTAAAAGAATAATTTTATATTTTCAACATTCTAAAAATTAAGACAATTAAAACTAAATACAACACAATATTTATCATTTACCAATTTATAATATGAAAATTTTTTATTCATAAATTTATGCTTTTCCAAGTGTAGCTTAGATGTGGCATAAGGCCAAAAGTATGGGACACCAGTGAAAATTGAACTCACTACTCAGTTGTAATTGATTTTAGGGAGACAAACTTACTAACCATTACACCACTTCGAGGTGCCTATATTTATAAATTTATAAACATTTATTAAAGTATTAAAATACGTGAACTGACTATAAGTAAATACTTATTATTTACCATTTTATAAAGTTTGAATCAATTGGTAATTAGCAGATGTTTTGCCAGTCATCCCAATAAATGATATAATAGTGTCAATAAACAAACTAACAAATAAATAGATGTTGGTACTAAAACCAAGTAATGACAATTGGTTTGATGAAACAAAACAAAACAAAAAACATTTTTGTTGAATCTCAAATTTTTTTTTTTTGTTTTTTTTCCAAGGTCTTAAAAATTTATTACCAAATAAATTTTTCTGTCTTTTTCATGAAAAAAAAAAAGCGGACAACATTCATCATCAGATGGTATTGATTTCCCCCATGATGTTTACGATTCTGTTGTTGTACTTTTGTGAGATTTCACTTTCCACCTGAAAATTCAAATATAAAAAGAATCCATTATAAACTAATAAATTATTATTTTTTTTTTTTTTTTTTAAATACTTCAATACTTAAATAAGTAAGACTATACCTGACACTCCATGGATTTCATTGGGGAGGAGTTTTCAAGTCATTATTATTAAGAAAAAAAAAAAATGATCCAATTAATATCACACATAAATAAAGAAATTATCTATTACTAGCAGTAGAGCCCGGCGTTGCCCGGGGATGTAACAGTAAGAGATAGATCAAGTATCGACCATCATAAAGACTGAAAAATAAAATTGACAAAGATTATTGTTTAAGGGTGACGGACACACATGTCTTAATTAGTTTTTTTTTGTTTTTTTTTACGAATTGGTCAAACCCAAACTCACACAAAAACATTGTTTTCAATCGTTATGAGTCTACTGATTGAATAGAATTTTATTATAAACAATTGTCTTGTAAATGGAATTTTTAAAGCATTCTGAATGTAAAAATAAAGAAAAAAAAGTCTGCAAGACAATAAGAAACACTACCTACTAAAAAAAAAAGTGAAGTTTTGTTGAAATCGGTTGAAAAATGTAGGAAATCCGATCCCATATATAAATGAACACACACACACAAACAAACAACGTGGGTTTTATAAGTATAACTCGATATGAGTTGTCCCCCTTTCATTCTTGCGATGCCTCTTAATCATGTTTTCAAATTGATTTCATGCAATACCAATTGTGTTTTTCCAATTTTTGGCGCTGTCAGAACCACCGCAAGGTAATTTTACGTAGTCCTGTGAAGTTTTGTTCAAATTGGTTGAAAAATGTGGGAAATCCGATCCAATATATAACCGAACAGACACACACACACATAACCTGCGTTTTATAATAAGTAAGATTAGTTTTTGGGGTTTTTTTTTGGTTTTTTTCTTTAAATCAGTTGATCATTTACAATAATACAATTGTAATAGACATAATTTCATTTCTTGGGCAAGAAAAAAAGTTGGTGAAAGGCAGGGTGAAAAGGAGAGTGAGAGAACAGGAGAAGCGAGAGGGAGAGAGAGCAGGCAAAAGAAATGGGGAACAATAAAGAGAGCATGCAAACAGACAAAAGAAAGATAGAAAGTGAGCAGAAGCAAAACAACCATGCAAAAATTGTGTACCTGTTTTTTCAGAGCTAATGTATCTTGTTTGAACACCTCCAATTTGGGAGCTATTTCTTCCTCTTCTGCGAAAGCTTGTTGCTTTCTTAAAATCATCTCTTTCTCTCGAAAAACCATTTTGTCGGCCTGAGTCAGGTTCTGACGCAGACTGTCCTCTAAGCGATCAACATATCTGAAAAAAAAAAAAAAAGTATCTCAATAAAATGTCAAAGCGAACACGACATTCTTTTTTTTTAATTACATCGTTTATCAAGTTGTAGATGTGTGGTGGTGTAATGGATGTGGCTTGGAATGGGGAAAAAACAGAGGTGATTTCAAATTCCAATCGCGATTGTTACATTCACTTACACTCAAATACCCTTGAATCTATCTTTTATCCCTACCAGAAATAGGTAATAGCAGGTTCTAGAGCCCTGGTTGGCAACCCGTCTAGGAGAAAGAAAACTGAATTTAAATCCAACCTGGGAAGTATTGGGCTCCATCAGATTAGCTTGCCCAAGACACACCACTGCAGTATATATGATGTCCCTATGTCGTTAAGCAGGTTATGTGATTGCCTTCCTTTGGTGCCATGCGTGATGTATAATGTAGGTGAACATGTCTCTTTTCGAAGCACTGTTGACTTGGCATAAGAATTCCTACAGAAGGTTGCTATTAATTTCTACTTTATTTTAAATTAACACCACTGAGTGGACTGAAAGATCCTTCACAGAATCTTGGACATTCATACGTAACTGAGACTGGGGGGGAGCTGATCAGGTGCTCATCTTTGCAGCCACTCTGCAAATCACACCTGGTCATAGGATTGAAGCCGAGGAAAATAAAAGTTATTTTCTTAATTACCTGAAAGCAACACTATTGAGAGGATCAACAATCCTGGACCATCTGAAGATTGTATCAATTGTATTAAAAAGATTCTGACAAAGTATAAAACCTACATGTGATTAAATTCATGTCAGTTATTTGCAAACTTGAATAACGTAGAACACTTCTGTTAGGGGAAGAATAAAAAAAAAAAGAAAAAAAGGTGTTTTTTGGTGTGGGTAAGAATGCTTTTGACCGTTGAAACTAAAGAAATGACTCACTTTGGTGAACGTTTAAGCTGTAACAAATGTTTCATTCTGTCAGAGTTGAGCAGCTGCCATGCTGCCTGTACAGTGTTAGCCAAAGTACACACTTCTGAAGATGTACGCAGAATGCTATCAGGAGCATTATGGAATTGATAGGTGCTAAGGGAATTGGAAGGTGCCTCAATCTCAAACAGACGTTGCGTCAGGAAAAACTCCAGCTTTAAAAATAAAACAAAGTAAATATTACAGGATACACAATGTAAAGTAAAATTTAAAGTATTATATATATATATAGTACACAATAAGATGCAAAATTACCTCATATGGAGAAATTATATATATTTTATATTACTAGGATCCACTTGGATTATATATGTCAACAGATTTATTACCTTTACTATACAGTAGTGTCCAAAGCTAAGGGACAAAATTTTAAAACCTAGTACTTTTGGACGATCCTATTTTGAAAATAAATAAATAATTGTTATAATTCTTTTTCTATCCTTTGCAAATGATTCAAATTTTAGTATGTTATTATGGATGATAACGACTACCAGTTGTCAAAATTTCAGCTTTTCACAATTGTTATTTCTAACAAATATTGGGTTTTAAAATTTTGTCCCTTAGTTTTGGACGCTACTATATATCTCAAAACGCACACGTTTCATTAAAAATGACTGACAAGGTACTGTGAGTAAGTCAAATATACTTGTTAATAATACAAATAGTCTCATCCACATGTATAAAAGGCTAAAAGTAATGGAAGAATTATTAATAAAAAAGAAAATGCAAACACTTCATAGCATCAAATATCAACATGGCCACAATGTACTGACCATGTTTGGAAAATTAAACATTCCTCTAGATACATACATAAAAAAAAAAACAAAAAAAAAAACGTCATCCTACATAATTCATGTTCAGAAAATTATAAGAAGACAAGGAAAATTAAATAACAAAAACTTAACTGTAATTCCTTGTTAGTTGTTTTTAAGAAAACTTGTATAAAAGAAGGATTGCTGCCGAAATACACAATTGGATAGCATCGGATAAGCAGCAAATAGGAAATGTTTATAAATTAAACAGGTTTCACTTTTATTTAAGCTTCATCAGAAAAATGAAATATGGAGAGGAAAATAAATTCTGCTATTTTAAATTTTTTTTTTTCCCATTGATTAAAACAAATAGAAAATAAAAAAAATTTTTTTTTAAAAGTACTGGATTAATCTTTTCTCCTCCACTGGCCTAAAATGGACCAGGATATCCAAAATTTGGTCAAGTTATGAAGAGGCTGTACTCTACCTGTAAATTTTCAACTCTGGTCTAAAACTGATAAACCTTTGGTCTAGGTTGCATGTTGCTTTTGTGGGACCTTTGAATGGTGCATATTACTTGATTGTTGTCGACATTTTTTCAAAATGGCCTGAAATATTTAAGTGTAGAATACCTACTTCCACTGTAAGTGTAGATTTTCTTCATGAATGGTTTGAGATTTGGGACAGAAATGTACCTCCATTAAAACCAATTTAACAAAATGGGACAGAAATGTACCTCCATTAAAACCAATTTAACAAAATGGGACAGAAATGTACCTCCATTAAAACCAATTTAACAAAATGGGACAGAAATGTACCTCCATTAAAACCAATTTAACAAAATGGGACAGAAATGTACCTCCATTAAAACCAATTTAATAAAATGGGACAGAAATGTACCTCCATTAAATCTTCCATCAGCAAATTCCTTGTCTGTACCGATTCTAACAAAGTCAGAGCATCATCTCCTCTAGCAATTCCATCATCTGTAAATACAAACATTTGGTACAATGAAATTCTTATAATAAAAAGTATATCTTAAGAAGAAGAAAAGAAAAAAAAAAAAAAAAAAAAAAAAAAGAAAAGAAAAAAAAAAAGAAAAGAAAAAAAAAAAAAAAAAAAAAAAAAAAAAAAAAGAAAAAAAAAAAAAAAAAAAAAAAAAAAAAGAGAAAAGAAAAAAAAAAGAAAAGGAAAAAAAAAGAAATAATGCATACTTATACCTTTTACAAGCGATGCTGAAGAATTTGTCAGCCGAACATCCTTTTAAAATCTGACGGTTACTTAGTTATTGATGTAGACAAATGAATCCAGGTGTCAACTTCAAATTAGTTTTGCACTAACGCCATTTGGAAAGAATGACTTCCTTTTCCTCAAGCTATGGCTTTAATATCAAGGTAGACTTATCACTATAGCCTTGATGGCAGTAACCAGTCCATAAGAAGGACAACTAAAATCAAGGCCATCTTGAAGAGGAATGACCTCTGCAAGACTCTCTTTGGCTGCAGTACGTGTTGTGCCACTCTGGTCCTACTTGTGATCATGCAAATACTGGTGGTTACACCAGATAGGTGTTAAGTAGCAAGACAGTCTTAAGTGGCAGCCATGATGGTAACAGGAGAGGATTCTAATATCATTTGCAAGAAGTTATGACAAGTCATAAATAAAGAAAAGGGGTCTGTGGAGAGCCATGATTGCCTAAATACTGAAAGGGTACTGTGCGCGTACACACATATAAATAAAATTGAGTAGAGTATATACCCAAAAATCTTAAAAAAGAAAAAAAAATTTAAATGTTTAAAATTTCAGCATCGCCCTGCCACGTGTTCAGTGTGCATTTGTAGTGTCACATCAAATATATAAAGATCACTTTAGTCCCAGGAAGTTCTGAAGGAGAAAAACCATTTCCAGTTTGCAACTAATTTTCTTTGTGTGAGTGTGTGCTTTTATTCATGAAAATTTAATAGCAATTCTAAAATATTCTTGTTCTCCCTATATTAAAATAATCAAGACATTATATATATATATATATATATATATATATATATATATATATATATATACATACATACATACATACATACATACAATTTGAGGTTTATAGTAACTAAAACTGTAAAGTTCTTTTACTAAAAAAGAGAAAGAGGAGAGAGAGAGAAAAAGAGAAAGAGAAAGAGGAGAGAGAGAGAAAAAGAGAAAGAGAAAGAGGAGAGAGAGAGAAAAAGAGAAAGAGAAAGAGGAGAGAGAGAGAAAAGAGAAAAGAGAAAGAGGAGAGAGAGAAAAGAGAAAGAGAAAGAGGAGAGAGAGAAAGAGAGAAAGAGAAAGAGGAGAGAGAGAGAGTAAAGAGAAAGAGGAGAGAGAGAGAGAGAGAGAGAGAAAGAGGAGAGAGAGAGAAAAAGGAGAGAGAGAAAAGGAGAGAGAGAAAAGGAGAGAGAGAAAAGGAGAGAGAGAAAAAAGGAGAGAGAGAGAAAGGAGAGAGAGAAAGGGAGAGAGAGAGAGAAAAAGACAAAGAGGAGAGAGAGAGAGAAAAGACAAAGAGGAGAGAGAGAGAGAAAAGACAAAGAGGAGAGAGAGAGAGAAAAGACAAAGAGGAGAGAGAGAGAGAAAAAGACAAAGAGGAGAGAGAGAGAGAGAGAGAAAAAGAGAAAGAGGAGAGAGAGAGAAAAGACAAAGAGGAGAGAGAGAGAAAAAGACAAAGAGGAGAGAGAGAGAGAGAAAAAGAGAAAGAGGAGAGAGAGAGAGAGAAAAAGAGAAAGAGGAGAGAGAGAGAGAGAAAGAGGAGAGAAAGAGGAAAGAGAGAAAGAGAAAAAGAAGAGAGAGAAAGAGAGAAAAAGAGCAAGAGAGAAAAAGAGGAGAGAGAGAATAAACAAGAGAGAGAAAAAAGAGAGAGAGAGAGATTAAATGGAAGTTGTCTTCACCTTCATCGCTTGTCTCCTCAGATGGTTTGTTTTCTTCCCCATCACCCCAATCTATTGCAGCTTCATCATCCTATGATAAAGAATACAAAAAGAATAAATAAAAAATTTCTTTGTAAATTTAAAAAGAAAAGGATTGTCATCAAAGAATAGGAAATAAATAAAAAAAACAATTGTCATATATAGGTTTTCTTATTGCCTGGTTCACACTCCTCCTTGGTCTTTTGAACAGAAGTAGAGGTTTATCTCTTGTTTCCTGTTTAGGACTGGCTTTCTGGTTCCTTCTAAAGTCTTCTCATTCCCTTTTACTCTCAGTAGCCCCTTGCATCTTAGTGGCATTATCGCCTTGCTGGAGGTGAATTGATTTAAAAAAAAAAAAAAAAAAAAAAAAAAAAAGGTGGGGTGAAAGTAATAAGTAACTTTCTAAAATCTGCAAAAGTCTGGCAGTGAAAGAGATTTACTCAGCTTGTATACAATCCCAAACTAAATATTAGCACGGCTGAGTAAATAAAGGGGTCACTACAAAGACAACAACAAAAATGATGAAGGAAACAATGACTATTATTATTAGTAGTATTATTATTATTTATTCTCCTCATAATCTTTTTAGATTCTTTTCAACCCAAAGTTTTCTCAGGTTGTCAGTCTGTAATGAATAGTAAAGATCAGAATTTTTGTCTTGGTCACTATACTAATTCATAGACTGGAAGATGTATTTTTTATATGCCGACAAATTTATTAGTCGGTTCACAGTCACATGATGCACTGATTCAATTCGTAGCATGTTGTTTATTACTTCTTATTAACATGTGAAATGTTTAACAGCAACAGCCACAGTAAACTTCATGTATTCAGTCTTTGACTTACATCACTGATGAGCAATAGACATGCTTATTTTGTTTTGTCATATATTGCAAGGTGACAATGAATGCAGTAAGTTTCTAGGCTCCCCTGAAGCTAATAAAAAGAATTTTGCAAGATCAAACTGATTCTAATAAAAGGTCATCATTTCAAAGTGTAACGTTATTTGTTGTAAAGACAAATCTTTCATATGTAAACTTATTGTTTATTCATTTCTGTATTCCATGTACGAGTATATACTATAAAGCAAAATTGGAGTTTTGTACCTGCAAAAAATAAAACAACAAAACAGAGTTAAAAGGATGGCTTTTTCTAGGAATGGTGTGTTCTGGCACAACCCGTTTGGCATTACTGATTTGGCATAGGAATTTTTCGGCAGAGGGTCAATTAGGCATCAGATTACTATTATGCTGTTATAGTCAAATTTGCTCTCTCTCTTGTTTAGTAGTCAAATTAGTACTTCATCGTTATACTCAAATTTGCTCGAATAGTCCAATTTAAGAAAAACAGTAGTTAGGAGCCTTTTTATATTTAAGAAAAAGGGTAGAATACAAAGATTGAACTTTACTAAGTTCCTTAATTTTTTTTTTGGAAATACAATATTTTTAATTTAAGTTTTTAATTTACTTTTAATTTACATTATTCCATTTGTATTTTAAAAGGATCCTTAATTCCCTAAATGAATAAAAATCATATTGAAAGTTGGTTGTTTTCAATGCTTTTATCATTTTGTGTGTTTTTTGCCTCCAGTCAAAGACAGCAACCTTGAAACAGTCTGATGCCTAAACAGCTGTGCTGAATAGTCCAATTATTTTTTTGATGCTGAATCAGTCACACTGAATGAGCAATGCCAAATGGGCTACACTAAACATACCAAACCTGGCTTTTTCATTTTAACTACCTTCACTTCTTGGCAATGCTTTTGTTTTAAAAGGCAAGGTTTAAAATTGTAATAAAATGAAAAATATATGATGAAAGTGAATTTATACATTTTTTTGCCTTCTTGAAAATTTACATATGGAGGAGTATTAAATTAGCTTTTAAAAATTCAATATCTACTCCTCATTTTATAGTAATTTCCACATATTTCTTAGTACATTTGCTTTTGTAATATTTTTTTTTAAATTGTTGACTTTATGGCTACCCTGTATATTCTGACCTGTAATAATTGTTTTTGCTAGTCTAAACAGTCTGACCAAAATTTGGTGCCGATCTGTACATATCTCTCGCCATATTTCTTCTATATTGTCTTTTTTCACACAAAAATGTTATGTTCGTCTATCATCTGGTCTGCACTTCTCCGCAGTCTTTTGAACAGGAATAGAGGTTTATCCCTTGTTTCTTGTTTAGGATTGAATTTCCAGTTCCTTCTAAAGCCTACTTCTGCACTATGCTTCTAACATCAACTGAACTTGGAAATGTTATTCAGTAATTAAATCTTGACGTCTTCAAATCTAATGTTAGCTGTCATCTTACCTGCATAGCTTCACTTTTTGCCCTTTCTTACCCTCAAACAATACCACATAGTAACCTTCTACCTTGAGTGGTACTTGGAGTGAGTGAACATTAGTGGGGGTAAAAAAAAAAAAAAAAAAAAAAAAGGTATGTGAGCCAACTACATACTGGAGTCACCACAGATCAACTTCTCTTAGAATAAGGGTCCCTTATTGACTTTAAATTCAAAGATGACTGGAATTTACTGATATGAATCAGATACTAGAATAATCAAGACAGAGCCTCCAATATCTTACATAATGAGAACAATTAAAAAAAAATAATCAAAAGTGTTGGAAAATCACAAATGATGTTCAGGTATTGTCAAATAGAAAACAAAAAACATAAAAGAAAGTCACCTTGCCACCTGCAGACTCCAAGGTTATCTGTGACATGTCAAATTCAACATCACCAAAATCTATTTCCTCTGCAGCATCCCAATTGATCTAAATTTGAAAAGAAAAAAAAAATTGTTTTTTAATTCCTGAAAATTTTAAGCAGTTGATGAGCAAAAGAGATATTGCACCAATCCAAATAACAATGATTTGCTTTAACAATTTTCACTTGCTTCCCAATCTTGTCAAAGAGTTCAAAAGATATGTCAAGTTTAAAGTTTCTTTTTCTATTTAAGAAATATGATTATTGATTGATAAATAAGGTCTCCAATCCTATAAGACAATTTTGTGACCAGATAGAATAATTTATCAAAATGAAGGAAATTTATTTCTCTTCAAAATTGATTGATAAATAAGCTCTCAATCCTATAAAACAATTTTGAGACCAGATAGAATAATGAAACTGGTATCAAAATGAAGGAAATTTATTTCTCTTCAAAATTACGAGGGTTGATTGATAAGTAAGCTCTCAATCCTATAAAACAATTTTGAGACCAGATAGAATAATGAAACTGGTATCAAAATGAAGGAAATTTATTTCTCTTCAAAATTACGAGGGTTGATTGATAAGTAAGCTCTCCAATCCTATAAAACAATTTTGAGACCAGATAGAATAATGAAACTAGTATCAAAATGAAGGAAATTTATTTCTCTTCAAAATTACGAGGGTTGATTGATAAGTAAGCTCTCCAATCCTATAAAACAATTTTGAGACCAGATAGAATAATGAAACTAGTATCAAAATGAAGGAAATTTATTTCTCTTCAAAATTACGAGGGTTGATTGATAAGTAAGCTCTCCAATCCTATAAAACAATTTTGAGACCAGATAGAATAATGAAACTGGTATCAAAATGAAGGAAATTTATTTCTCTTCAAAATTACGAGGGTTGATTGATAAGTAAGGTCTCCAATCCTATAAAACAATTTTGAGACCAGATAGAATAATGAAACTGGTATCAAAATGAAGGAAATTTATTTCTCTTCAAAATTACGAGGGTTGATTGATAAGTAAGCTCTCAATCCTATAAAACAATTTTGAGACCAGATAGAATAATGAAACTAGTATCAAAATGAAGGAAATTTATTTCTCTTCAAAATTACGAGGTTGATTGATAAGTAAGCTCTCCAATCCTATAAAACAATTTTGAGACCAGATAGAATAATGAAACTGGTATCAAAATGAAGGAAATTTATTTCTCTTCAAAATTACGAGGGTTGATTGATAAGTAAGCTCTCAATCCTATAAAACAATTTTGAGACCAGATAGAATAATGAAACTGGTATCAAAATGAAGGAAATTTATTTCTCTTCAAAATTACGAGGGTTGATTGATAAGTAAGCTCTCAATCCTATAAAACAATTTTGAGACCAGATAGAATAATGAAACTGGTATCAAAATGAAGGAAATTTATTTCTCTTCAAAATTACGAGGGTTGATTGATAAGGTCTCTCAATCCTATAAAACAATTTTGAGACCAGATAGAATAATGAAACTGGTATCAAAATGAAGGAAATTTATTTCTCTTCAAAATTACGAGGTTGATTGATAAGTAAGCTCTCCAATCCTATAAAACAATTTTGAGACCAGATAGAATAATGAAACTGGTATCAAAATGAAGGAAATTTATTTCTCTTCAAAATTACGAGGGTTGATTGATAAGTAAGCTCTCCAATCCTATAAAACAATTTTGAGACCAGATAGAATAATGAAACTAGTATCAAAATGAAGGAAATTTATTTCTCTTCAAATTATGTTCAGATGGTCATCCAAATACCGCATGCACATAGGGCTGTATTCAAATAATTGATTATTTGTCCAACAATGTTTCACTTTTCTTAAGATTTGTTCAAATAACATTTGGTCTTAATCAGTAGATCAATAAACCACTCACACTTTGATTCTCTGTTATGTTATTTTCATTAGCTTCTTCTTCATTTCTGATTAGGTCAGTGTCTATTATACTGATGGGTTTCTTTCCAGTCCTCCATTCATACACAGTTGTGTTTCCATTCTTTATGATGTATTTAATCAATGGCACACAGTCTTTATCCAGATTCTCACTTGGGGAAAAGAAAAAAATATGTACAACTTACAGAGTTATCAGTCTTATAAATATCATTTCAGATTAAAGGTGTTTAAAAAAATAAATAAATAAATAAAATTAATGTATAATTTCTCAATTACAAATTTTTCATGGCCAGAAATCTCTAAATATTGCTTCTGTTATGTATTTATTTAGAGATTCTTGATAGAATGCTAGTAGCCCTGACCTGGCATCTAAGCTTCAGTCACTTTCTCACCACCATAACATAACTTTCCTGCATAGTCTCTCAAGATAACACTTCATAGCCATGCTTCACTGCAACTTTTCTAAAAATATTCTCAGGGTACCTGGACTTTTATGAATTTAAGCATAGTACTAAATTGGCAGTTAGGTCTCATCACTTTACCATAGAAATTGCTAAATGCAACCATAAGTTATAGGCTAATCATTTCCTCTCTCGCATGCAGAACTCTCTTCTGGGCTTCTTGCTTTTCAGTCAAAAATTTATATATTATTTTCCGTTTTCTTAATTTCTGTTCTTTTATTGCTCTTCCCCTTTAATGTTTTCCTTTTTCTCATTGGCTTACACTCAGTAACCACTTGTGGGTTTATTGCCTTGCTTGAGGTGAAAGGATTTATTCCCTCCCCACCACAAAAAAAGAAAAAAAGAAAGAAAAAAGAATTCTGCTTTCTATTCATAGATTTATTTGGGATGCGAGATATATTTTAATGATCGCAGAAATTCTAAACAAATTATTTGTTAATAAGAAGGCAATATACATAAAGATTTTTTTTTGTTTGCATGATCAAGAACTGTTCTTGTCTTAGTATTTATAGCAAAACTGCCAAAGATATAAGAAAATCAGATATATTTCTTATATATTAAGAAAAATCTGATGCAAATATGAAACTATCCAAGGGAGGTAATTCATTTTTCTAAATTTTCTCCTTTTAATTAAAAGATTGAATTCACTCTACCTGCCAAGCTCACAAAATTCACTCGTTTGCCAATCATTTGATTGAAAAGTGAAGATACTAATTCCATCTCAGTCCTAGTATCTCCACTTCACTCACTTTCCCACCACTGTAACACAGATACCTTGTGCCTTTTCTGTAAATGTTTTCATAATTGCCCAGATGAGTTCTATGCTAACTGTTTCTTATTTCATACTTCTCGCTTGTTGAACTTCTTGCTTTCCAGTGAACTTTGATCTCCAAAAATTTAAATGCAATCTTAATCGTCATCATCTCTCTTCTTAATCCTATTCTTTTATTAGCCTCGCTCCTTAATGTTTTTTTTCTTCTCAGATACTTTCACACTCAGTAATCCCTTGCATCTTAGAGACTTTATCACCTTGCTTGGGGTGAAATAAAAGGAAAAAAAAAATTTTTTATAAAACCCAAATATTCAGATTTGGATGTTTCATTTGCAAAGCAATATTAGCACAAAACTTTCCATATAAAAGTTGTTTAAAATGGGATTAATTCACATTGTTAATCCTATGCTTTTGCTCTTTTCAATGTCTGCTAGTATGGGAAGCTACTCTACATCTAATATGGTTCTATTACAATCACAACTTCCGTAACCCATTAGGTTCATAGGAGCACCACATGTACTGCAGTCATAAGAGCAGTGGCTCTAAGGCAAGATAGCATGATAAAGCATATATTCTCTTTAGGATGGTTTTACAGTTTCCCTTCTCATAGACCAGCGTTTCTCAACCATTTTTTTTTTTTACTCTATGGCCCCCTAAAACTTTGAGGTTCAATTTAAATACTGATAGGGAAAAATTAGTCATGAAATATGACAACAGGAAAATAATAAAGAAGTTTCCTGAAATAAGCATTTATTTTTGATATGTTAAATTGTATATTTAAGTATGCATGTGTGAAACCTGTACTTTATGAGATTCTGGCAATTTTTGGAGTGTTAGGCATTATATGTTATGCCTTGAAGAAGGCAAAGAGGAAAGTATTATCCACTTCTCAAAGATTAAGGAATTTAGCATCCAGTTTAAATATCAAATGACAAAGACTTGACTTAGATATGGAAGCCATGTGCTTCATGTTGCTAGCCTTTTAAAAATAAAGATTTTTTTTAAATATAAAGATAATTCATTATTTATTTCTAAAATGAGGAATTATAATTATTTACACTATTTACATTGTTTGGACTGTTGTCCTCATCTTTATTGTCATATTAACCACGTTTCGGCCGTTGTACACTCCAGCCTTCTTCAGGTAATTGGAATTTCGAACTGAACCTTTTATTTCATCTACTGGGGTAGATTGTTCTAGTTCCGTGTGGCATGCCTCTTCCAGACGTGTCAGTTATCTCCCTTTACCTCAACTCTTTAGTTTTTGTTCACCACTACAGTAGCCAGGTATTGAACTCACAACTCTTTGGGTCAAATCACTGGATCAAATGCTTTTATAAACTGGGCAATGTGTCCTCAAGCATTGGTTGATTAATCCAAAATGTGACTTGACTCAAAGAGTTGTGAGTTCAATACCCAGCTACATAATCCCGAGGAGAACACACAAGAGTTGAAATCTTGGAGAGAGATATTATAAAACTTTTGGAAATTTCATCCATCAACAACTGCTGTTTTGGTGAAGGATCATTCGTAAGTTGGAGAGGAAGATCAACAAACACAATGGACACAAAATTTCTACACTCTTTAACATGTTTGAAAGAATAATTGCTACCTTTGAAGAAGTAGAATAAACTTAAGAGATTGTGACAAAAATGTGCCACTTTTCACATAAAATGTCAGTGTATAAATAACAAAGAGAAAACAAAAGCTTTTTACCTTCTGCGTTACAGCAACTACAAAGAAACAAGTTTTTTAAAACAATGATTCGTTTTCTATGGTTTATCAATACTTTGAGGTAATAATTTAGTGATACACATCTTACTAATTAACTGATAGCTCGGGAGGGAAAAGAGTTGAATTCATACTTTCCCCCAAAGGCATTTACACATAAGGGAATATAATGAATCCAACTGGAATTGGAACTCGGCTCTCCAATTAACAATTCCAAGCCATTATCCAATCTAAGATCACAGCACCTCGTATTGTCAAATGGTCATCCATCTAGGTGTTGATCAATCTCAACATAGCATAACCTCAGTGATCATACAAGAATCAGTGCTTATACGTTATATGGCCATAAGCCCAATATACAACCAACACATCCAAGCTTACTGCACCAGGTATTTCCAAGTGGTCGCCCATCTAGATACTGACAAAGCTTGACATTGCTTAACTTCAGAGATTGTATGAGAATCAGTGTTTATATGTGATATAGCTGTAAGCCCATTATACAAACTGCGCATCCAAACTTACAGCATTTGGTATTCTGAAGTGGTCACTCAGCTAGGTACTGATCAGGCTTGACATTGCTTAACTTTGATTGTTTGGGTACCAGTGTTCCAATGTGATATAGGCATAAGGATTATTTTTTCCCCCTTTTTTAAATAAAAAGCTAAGATAATTTCCCTTTCAAAATCTATAGAAAAAAATGATCTTGTGATTTGAAAGTTTTTTTTTTTTTAAAATAAAAAATAAAACCAAAAACATACATAAAAAAGAAATTTCCACTCTAAGCAGTCTCCTTACTTTTGCATGAGAAAGTTGACAAAGTCGCCATAATAGATACTGGCTTCTTCAACCGCAATGACATGTCTACAAAGAGAATCCAGAAGTTCTGGTAATTCATGAACCTGGGCATACAATTCTGCTTTCACCTTTTTACCCTGCAAAAGAGGAAAAATAAAATTAATAAATTGATTCAACGATTTGCTTTTATGGCTTATCTAAAAGCTTATGGCGTATTTAAAGCCAGAAAATATCTTTAGATTGTAAGAAATTTTTTTTGTAAATAATAATGATTTACTGCTACAAGTCCTACTAATTAACTCATAGTTGAGTTTGGTGGGAATCTTGAATTCATTGTTTCAACAAATTAAGAGTTACAGGCAAAAAATACAGGATCAAATATTTAATATACAGATAATAGATCGAACAAGACAATGTTGTTTTAGAAATTCATTTTCTATGGATTACCAACCAATTGCAGGTTATTTAAAGCCAGAAAATATTTTTAGATCGTAAGAATTCTTTTTTGAGATAATGATTTAGTGATATATTTCTTACTAATTAACCCATAGTTGGAGGAGAAGAAGTGGCTTCAAACGTTTACCAAGGGTATTTGGGCATAAGTAAATATAACAAACCCGACTGGAATTGAAACTCAGTTTTCCAGTTCCAAACCTTTATCCATTACACTACCCATACACCCAAGCTTACGGCACCTGTTATTCCTGAGTGGTCACCCATCTAAGTAATGACCAGGATTGACATTGCTTAACTTCAGTGATTGTACATGAATAATAAAGAAAAGTGTAACATTAAGAAATAACTTACATACTGAAATTCTTTCGAATAAAACATCTCAACCTGGGAAAATCATGGGGAGGAATTGTCCATCAGTAGGGGCAGATATGGCATGCTTGTGTGTTCAGGCCTATTTTCAATTCATGGTCACTCAAGAGCATTTGCATGCAAGTGAATGTAACAAACCTGACTGGAATTTGAACTTGGCTCTCTGATTTCTCATTCCAAGCAGTCAACAATTACACCACCTGCACATTGCACATCCAAGATCACAGTCACTCATCAAAGTACTGACCAGACTCAACATTGGCTAACTTCAGTAATCTGTTGAGAACTAGTGTGTTAACATGATATGCCCACAAGGCCCAATAAAATAAAAAAAAATACTTTTAGTAGTTTTATTCTGTATATTGTAGTATTTACTAACTGACAATATGTAATTTTTTTCTTTTTTTAAGAGGGTTACATCATACATGAGATATGAAATTAGCATATGTATTGTTGGCCCTAACTACACCATTGACCAAACTTATATATCCACTAGCAGTAGAGCCCGGCGTTGCCCGGAGATGTAACAGTAAGAAATAGATCAAGTATCGACCATCATAAAGACTGAAAAATAAAATTGACAAAGATTATTGTTTAAGGTTGACAGACATGCATGTCTTAATTAGTTTTTTTTTGGGGGGGGTGTATTTTTTACAAATTGGTGAAACCCAAACTCAAACAAGAACATTGTTTTCAATCGTTATGAGTCTACCGATTGAATAGAATTTTACTTTTAAACAATTGTCTTGTAAATGGAATTTTTAAAGCATTCTGAATGTAAAAATAAAGAAAAAAGTGTGCAAGACAATAAGAAACACTACCTGCCAAAAAAAAAAAAAAAGTGATGGTTTGTTGAAATCGGTTGAAAAATGTAGGAAATCCGATCCCATATATAAATGAACACACACACACACACACACACAGAACGTGGGTTTTATAAGTATAACTCGATATGAGTTGTCCCCCTTTCATTCTTGCAATGCCTCTTAATCATGTGTTCAAATTGATTTCATGCAAAAACAATTGTGTTTTTCCAATTTTTGGCGCTGTCAGAACCACCGGAAGGTAATTTTACGTAGTCCTGTGAAGTTTGGTTAAAATCGGTTGAAAAATGTAGATCCGATCCTATATATAAACGAACAGACACACACACACACACACACACAACCTGGGTTTTATAATAAGTATGATTTACTGTAGCCAAATTAGCTTGAAAATTAGGTCTTCAAAGGTTGAAGGAGTTGCAAACATTATAAGGTATTTTAAAAATATTTTGTAACCTTGTAATAAAGTCTTTTGTTTCATCGTCTGAAACTATTTTGTCCAAAACTTACTTTTCCCCAGGACTGAACAGATTCTATTTTTATGCTTCTTTACAGCAGAAATTTTTTTGCTTCAATTGTTCTTTTAACATTAACAGAAATACAAGTAATTAACATTATGATGTTCCGATTATGGTTGCAAATGAACATTAAAACAAAAAAACAATTAAAACAGTTTGTGTCTGAATTTCTGGGATGAAGAGTTATCAGGATTCACATTTGTCCTCATCTTTGTTATCATGTTTCAACCACTGTGCTCTTCGGCCTTCTAAAGGTATCTATTGATCCAGTAAATTTCACGATATTTATAACTGGACTCTTTAATTTAATCTCTGAGGATAACAGAACAAGAACAATCTATTCCTATACATTAAATAAGAGGATTAGTTCAAAATTCCCTGAAGATTGCATAGATCAACAGACAACTGAAGAAGGTTGAAGGGTACAACAGTTGAAATGTTGTGACGGTGATAATAATAACAACGATGAGGACATTAACCAAATTGTTAATAATGCAAACAAGAAAATCAAATTTATCGTTATTCTGGTATTGATTAGATTTCAATCGGTTTTTCAAATTTTTGTGTGTGTGTGTGTGTAGGGGGACTGACATATATGGCTGTTTAGATTTAGAAACATTTGTATAGTAGATAGATTTTCGCCAGGTAAGTAATCAAACCACCTGTTTTTTTTTTTGTTTAACTTTAAATGATTTCATTAGTAACACAAATTTTAATTTTGATCAGCAGATATATGGAAGACATACGGGCACATCAAAAACACACTATATCTCACACATTGATTGTGGGTGTTAATAAAATAGGGTTTGAAAAATAAAAACTTGTAATCCCCTTATAATATATAGACTCTACCAACATTGTGTTAACCGGATATTTTTATTAAAATTTAAATTATGTAACGGTCAGTCTCTACTCAACACCTGAAGATTGCATTATGCATGAAACACCGTGTCACACTACTAGTGAAGAATATATATATATATATATATATATATATATATATATATATATATGTATGTATGTATGTATGTATGTATGTATAAGGTAAATTAATGAAATGTATTTTTCAAAATTTGCCATAATTGTTTTTTAAAATACTAAATCGTTTTTCAGTTTGCATTTTATAAAAAGGCGAGTACAAAATTAACTCTGCTTACCTCAATTCCAAGCCTTTTGCAGGCGTTCTCGTATTTACGTCGAAGATCTGCTGCTTTGGTTACATAATCTTCCTCCCTCTTCTGACAATCCTGTTCAGGTAAATTGAGGAAATGCCGTAAATGCAAAGAATTTAGAAATGAATAGGGAGAATTTCTTTAAAAATTAAAAAGTTTTTACAGTACAAAGTAAATGTTTATATTCTAATATGAGTAGGCAGTAAAAAGTTCTCAGGTTGACAAATTTTGATATTTGGGCATTTGACTGGTCAGAAAACATTTTAGCTCCTCCTCATAGTACAGGGTGCAATGGGTAAATTGTTGGTATTTCATATTTTTAATTTTGCGCATACACACTGTTTTTGATTTTGTCAACTGCACAATATATTTGTGTCAATTGGGCACCATCTGTGAGAAAAAGAACATCATGATGCAATACACTCTGCCAGAAATTTGGAAATGGCAGGCTGTACTACTTGGCATTCATGTTGGAAGCTCCAATATGAACATTTCAGTGTTTGGATGTCAATTTGAGGACAGTGCAGAGGATACAGAAAGAGTTGGATGAAAGAGTCTACTGGAGATTACAAAGGTACAGCAACTTGGAAAATAAACTCTGATCATTCTGATTAAAAAAAGAACCCCAAATTTGTTGGTAAGGGCCTCACGCTCAACACGGAGGCCTCCATCAAGTGCCTTGAGGAGGTAGTGCTGCCCTGGGTAAAGAGGGTGGCTGCTGGAAGACCCTATGTCTGACAACAGGACTCTGCACCATACCACACATGCAGGAGAACCCAGTTATGGTTGTCAGACAATTTCTGTGACCACATCACCCCTTACATCTGGCCACCTAACCCCCCAGATTGCAATTCGCTTGATTATTATGTGTGGGGCACAGTTGAGCAAGAGACAAACAAAACTTGTTGTAACACCAAAGATGAACTGAAGGTAAGGATTATGGCAGCATTCACCAACTCAAACAAGGAGACTGTCTAGAAGAGTTGCAGAAGATTCCTAAGTTGTCTGAAGGCTGTAGTTGAAGCCAGTGGTGATTTTATTGAATAAACTTATTCTTTAGTATTTCAAGACATTTTTGTGTCGTTTTGATAAATATATGTGTTAAAATGAGATGTCAGGGTTATTTTCACTTTTGCATCCCTTTAGACGACAATTTAGCCATCGCACTCCGTTATATATATATATATATATATATGACAGAATAGTAAAAGTTCTACCCACTATCACAAATACAATTGGAAAGAATTTAGCTAAACTCAACCTAAAATTTGTCAACCACTTCTAAAACAATAAAAGGCTTAATTAGCACTAAACAAATTCATAAGCTATAATTTGGAGGAGAAATTTACTCTATTACCTGTAATAATTGCCACAAGGAATATATGAGAGAAACCTCAGGAAATTTAAATAAAAGATTATATGAACACAAAAGGAATCTTTTACAAAACACATTGAATGTATTAGTTACTGTAACAAGACTGACCACAATTTTTATTTAAAAAAAAATTAAAAAAATGCTATTCTAATTAAAAGAGAAAACAATTTACTAAGATGAAAATCCTCACTGCACAAAATACGCACATGCTGCTTGTATTCCCTTCCATAAATAAAAACATGAGCCATGTCTCTCGCCCTCTGATAAAGAAACTGGCAGGGTATGCAAATTTTGATCTAACCAGTTGTGGTGTCTACATAAACTGCTGAATTTGCATGCCAGTAGTAGATATTCCTACAGCTCAATGTGTGTTGACATTCTCCAACTTACACAGGGCAATCTTCTGTTGAGCAGTGTCCTGCATATTCAAGTTTCTATAAAACTGCTTTAGAAAGGTTTAAACTAAAACAATTGAATTTAAGATGGATTCCAAGCAGTGACACGCACATGCACACACACAAAAAGTGACTAACATAATAAAAAAAAATAAATAAAATAGCTAAAAATTAATAAGGGCGACTTAAGATTTGTAATGTCATGAATTTTGAAAATAAAATTGCCTTTGAATATAACCAAATTCTTCTATATCAGTGGCAAAGTACAAACCTTTTCAATTTGTTGACATCGAGTTATTTGCCGTTTCAAAGCTGGAATTTCATAGTTAACATTGCGACCCATGATCTGTGCTGATTCAACTGAAAGAAATGTCAAATTTTTTTTAAAGACCAGGAATTTCATAAACTTGGTAACACAAGTCTTTTGCATGTCAAAAAATCAGTATCATTTGTAAGCTGCAGACGTCAAGCACACACACTATATATATATATATATATATACATACACACACACACACACACACACACACACACACACACACACACACGCGCACACACACACACACAGGTGGATAGATCAGGGGTTGTATGCTACATGTTCGTGCAAACTGATTCTTAAAAGTATAACAGATTAGCAAACCAGTTGTTGGATTATCCCAAAATAATCTTATATATTAATAGCCGATATCTAATTACTAATACCATTGTTGTAAGTTCTGTGGAGGGTTTTCTGTGATGAACATAATTTATTCTGACAAAGTCTTGAAGTTAAAAATGTGGCAAATCTTCTAGTCATAAATTTGATAATTCTTCCATTAGATATTTGGGATTGCAGCGATTCAGTTTGAATATGTCTAAGAAACCATAACACAGCTGATGACACTAGAGTCAAAAAACATCAGACTTCTGCATAGAAATATGATGAGAACAGAATCTGGAAATATCTTAAATATTTTCTATTAAATTAACAAAATCGTTTAATTCTTTTTGACACGATAAAGTGATTTGTTTCCATTCTCAGTTTGAAAAGAAAATAAGCAGAATAGGTTCTAAAATTACCTGTTTCTATAGAACCAGGTACTGGAAATTTGGGATGATATTTTTTTATATATATATATATATATATATATATATATATATATATATATATATATATATATATCACACACAAGGTGTCTCCACCCCAAAAATGTACTTGCTCTTCAAATGACAATAAATTCATTGTTTATTGATTTACAAAGATGATTCATGTTTTAAAATAAATATTGAATGTAATTAAATGCATTAAATCTAGAAAAAGAAAAAAATCCAAGATGTTATAGAAAGTCCAAAAATGAGTACATTTTTTGGGACACTATATATGATAAAACTGTGGTAAGAGAAGAGAAAAACAGGTGAGGTTATGATGGAAATAAAGATGAAGATATTGGTTAAAAATATCTTAAATTTATAACCATCTTGAATTTTTATCAGATGGATCACTGTCAACTATAATTCAATTTTTTTAGTATTTCTTTCATCTTCAATTCAGTTGCTTTATTTCCACCTGTAGTTTTAGTAGTAGTAATATTATTTTGAATTTTTATTAGATGAAGCATTGTCAATCATCATTCATTTTTGACTAGGATTTCTTTCAGCCTAATCCAATTATAATCCTTTTTGGCTATCATAGCTCAAGTAGTTGAGCACAGCTTTTTGTCCAAATGCAGACCGCCTATGTAAAAAAACGATGCAACTTCAAATCCAACAGAAATTATTATATTTCTGATCCATGCTGTTTATGAATAGACATAAGATGATGCTTTAAGCAATGACAAAGAAAAAAAAAAAAAAGTACTTCTCAGAAATTGGTGATGACAACAGCTAGAAAGACTATCTGTCAGGACATCCAGTCAATTAATCTGGTGTTGGGGGGGGGGATGTTCTGACACACTGCCAAGACCATTAGATCTGGAGGGACAAAGTGGTTGTCATGGGGCTCAACACTTGCACGACATGAGATTTTGCAGAAATTACCAAATGATAAAATTAACATACAGGCTGTCCACAAAGTCATTAAACAAATAGAAAAATTTATTAAAATTACAATAGAAACTAGATACTAATGAAATGTTTACATAAAATGAAGTAAGATTGAAGTTTATCACTACAAATAGTTAATAAATTCCTATAGAAGACCATATTCATTGCTTAAAGGACATCTAAGCAATATTCAATTTCCGTCCATGTAATTCTTTAATGAGAGACTATAACATAAAATCATAACATTAATAAAATTCTTAATATCATTAAAAGAATTTTGATACAGGACAAGAATCTTGGGTCTGGAAATGTTTCAGTTTTCAGATTTTTATTTATTTATTTTGGAATACAGACTATTTAATTTGTATATACCCAATTAGTATTGGCTGGGTCATTATGGAGAGGGGTATGGTGTTAAAACACCTGAAATCCCTAATGAACTTCAACTAGAAATATCACTGATGATGTTTACCAAAGCATCCAATAGATGTATTTTACAAAATATAAAATGAGGCAGCTTGGGAATGGAATCCAGGCATGAACATGATATCCCTTTACATTTTATAACAACACTTATACATATACCCTGAAGATAGTTTTATATGAAATTTAATAAATTTTATGTACATACAGATAATGATGCTAGTCATGTAATGCCCAAACAGATTTATAAGTGGTGAAATTATGATTACATGAAAAAAAAGAAAAAAAAAAAATGTTTTGTACTTTCTGTACATGTACAAAATATTGATAAAAATAGATGATTTCTTTTTATTTTTCTTTTCACTACCAATATGGGTATCTACAGGACTTTTTGACATTTTGAATAATATCTTTACTGAGCATGAAACATCTGGTTAGTAATCCACTAATGAAGCTGTTGCTGTGACGATTGCTAACAAAAAAACAGACGGCAACATAGGCTACATACCTGGGCTGGGGAGTCCCCACCCAAGGCAGATGAGGTCACTTACAACAGCTGCATATCACCTAGGAACCTTTCCAGTGCTTTTCATTTGTGGCAAGTCATGCCAGCACCTGAAAAACTTTCAGATTTGGGAATTATCGGATAAACGATACTGAACATTAATATGCAACAAATTTAGTTGCCATCTCTAAGATTTTTGTAATGACTTTTTGAAATTGTCTAAAGACTTTGTGGATATCATGTTTTTCCTTTTAATAATCATGAAATTAAAACACTTCATTTTTTTTCTTCATTTACTTACTTAGATAAACATTATCCTTTTCATACAATTTCAAAATATCTGACCATTCCTGAAAAGAAAAAAAAGTTTACTCACTGAGAACCAATATACAAATAATTATATTAAAGTTAAGTTTTTTCAGGTGGGGTGCAAAAGTAATATTCTGGTTTATCCCCTAGTATAGTACAAATCACAACATTTATTACAATAAAAACATTTTTATCATTTTAGAAGTGGGGATCCTGTCCATAATATAAATACAGTGTCATATCGATCCCTGACTTCTTAAAGAGTCATCTGTACTTAATTTTTATTCACAAATGAAGCAAAATCCTGTTCAAAATGTAAATACAGTCTCAAGTTGTTCCATGACCATTTTACAGAGTTATCTGTACTTTATTATTGTCAAGACTGAAACTGTGTACTACTGATGTCGTCCTTCCCTAGTTCATAATACCACACAGTTACCAATGGCATAAACAAAGTTTTAAACTCGACGTTTGTAAGTAAAAACAAAGTCAAGGATCGATATGAGACTGTATTTCTATTATGAACAGGATTCTCCTTTGGTATCTGTGTATATTGCTGAGATGAGGTATTATGTACATTATTCGGACTATCGTCCCCATCTTTGTTGCCATATTTCTCACAACGTTTCGGCCATTGTATGCTCCAGCCTTCTTCAAGTGGTTAGAATGTTGAACTGAACCCTTTATTTCGCTCGCTGGGGTAGACTGCTCTAGTTCCACATGCCATGTATAATGGATGTCAGTTATCTCCTGTAAATTCCCCTCTCCAAGTTCTCCACCACCATAACCAGGTATTGAACTCACACTTTTTGGGTTCTGTCACTGGATCTAACTAACACACTGTGGATAAAAGCGTTAGTTAGGTCCAGTGACAACGAACAATGCCCAAAATGTTGTGATAAACATGGCAACAAAGATGAGGACGATAGTCTGAACAAGGATTCTCCTTCTAAAATGATAAAAGAAAAAAAAAAAAAAAAAAAAAAAAAATCAATATTTCTTTTTATTCTAATTTCAATTATTCAAATGCTCTGGCTTGCAGGAGGTCAAATGTATACTAATCTACAAAGTCTATATTTCTGAGATGAGGTATTTGTAATTATTTACATTGTTTGCAATGTCCCCATCATATTCATGACGTTTCAGCCATTGTACACTCTGGCTTTCCTCAGGACATGTCTATATTTCTGAGATGAGGTATTCTATTTACATTATTTACCTTGTTTGCATTGTTATCCTCATCTTTATTGTTATATTCACAACGTTTCAGCCATTGTACACTCTGGCCTTCTTCAGGTGATATATGTTTGAATTTCAAACTGAACCCTTTATTTTGTCCACCAGGTTAGATTGTTCTAGTTCCACATGCCATGCCTTTTCTGGATATCTTAGTTTCAGTAAACTCAACTCTCCAAGTTTTTGTTCACCTCTGCTGTGACCAGGTATTGAACTCACAACTGTTTAGGTCAAATCACTGGATTACTTCAACCAATGCTTTTATCCACTGGGCCACTTTTATCCCCAAGGGTAAATAGTAGATAAAAGTGTTGGTTAAAGTAATCCAGTAATATCCTAGGTCAGGGTGGACCTGGGAACAACTGCAATTAAGAGGTGGTTCCACGCTCCTCAAAACCTCCTGATCAAAGGCCTTGCTGTTGGATGTAGTTTATCGCCTTACCCAGGACGCAGGTTGATAAACATATCCAGGACCCCCCATTAGGAGGGGTTTACCTCTCTGCAGAGGTGCAGTTGGCGTATTCTCCATCCTCAACCGACAGGGCGATAATTTGAATTTCCTGATGAATCTTAATTCTTAAGTTAATGATTGAATAAGCGCATGGCGAATTTTCCGACAGTAAAATGTCTGGAAATTCCCCCGTTGCATCATTAAATTGAATTTAACAACTTTAACCCATTATTGCAAAAACAAACAAATATGAAAGCAAGCCGTTATTTAAAGAAGTAAGTGGATACAAATGAAAAGATTAAAAACTGACAAGCTCTTCCATTTCAGTGAAGCAGACATTAAACGTATGACAGCATTATCGCCTCTTCTATTTTCTCTTTCTTTTTATCACTTAAACCAAACAGTGTTTCCAACATAAAATTGTTTTTCACTTATTATAGCAGAAAAAATGAGAAATTATCCTGGCTTGGTTACTTCAGCAATGAGTTTAGAAATGATAATGGAATGCTGGAAGTAATAGAAAATAAAAATATTGTCCAAATCCGTTACATGAAAGAGTTAAATCTACAGGGTGGTCTGAAAGTCTTGTCACCCCTACATAATATAATTTTATATTTCAGATGGCTGACACAAGCTCCTACAGTTTTGTGACAAGACTTTCTGACCACCCTGTACATATTAATAGTAATTGTGTATCCGAGTAGCAAACCTTCTTTTATACAAGTTTCATTAAAGGCAGTTGACAAGGTACAATGATTATGCTTTTTATTCAATTTTTCCTTGTATTAATACAAGTGTTTTCTTTCCTAACATAAAGTGTGTAAAAACTATCCAAATGTTCTATATATCTGAGTGAATTTGGCTATTCTGTTAGCCATTATCGAGGTTTTTTATATTTTATATTGAATACTAAATATTTAGATTTTTATATATTTTCTTTTTTTGCAGGTGAAAGGATTTAAAAAAAAAAAAAGAAAAAAAAAAGAAAAAGGAAAAAAAGAAAAGGGAGACAACCCCTACCCAAGACTCAGTTATGTACCATACATGATACACGCTGAGGCGATCATGTATCTTTTGATACATGACTGACGAGGCAGATTTTTCCCACACAGTAGGTTGCCATTTCTTTCTGCGGTAGACCAGTTGCAAGGCTATAGAACCCAGTCTGTTCTGCTATTTATGCACAACTGGGAGGGAGAAAAATAATTCACACTTTTCCCAAGGTTATTAGCATGCAAGTGAATATAATGGATTCAAGTGGAATTCGAAGTCGGCTCTCCGATTCCACAATCGGAGCCGCTATCCATTACTACACCGTGCCTCCAACAATGCTGATTTCTATTTGTAGATTTTCTGGGGATGTGAGACAAAATATTTTAATGATCTCGGAAATTCAAAACAAATCATTCATTAATAAAAGGGAAATTTGCAAAAGTAAGTTTTTTTTGTTTTTCATGATCAAGATAAGCATTCTTCTTGTCTTGGTATTTATAGCAAAACTGTCTAAGAAGAGTAAATATATTCTTCAAAATATATTTTAAAAAATTAGCTTCAAATATGAAACTATTCAAGGGAGGTAACTCATTTAAAAACTAAATTTTCTCCCTTTGATTAAAAGATTGGATTCATTCTTCCCGCCCAGCCCACAAAATTCACTCCCGTCTAACAATTGTTTGATCAATATGGCGAGGCCAATAAGACTGATTCCATCCTAGACAAGAACTTCCGAAATAAACCAACGCAACCTTTTTGATGTTCACCAATAATAGAATCATTGCGACGGTGTTATTTTTGGAAAATAAACTTACCTTTGTCATTTCATTTGCATATTGGCCAAATAAATTTTTTTTTCCAGACTCAGTATCTTTGGAGAGAAATTCAACAATTTTCTTTACATGGACGTAATTCACTTCTGAAACAATACAACAGAGAGATGTGGAGTTATTTTTTCTTCTCCATTATTTGCCTATTCCAAAATACAATACAAATTCATATCAAAATTCTACACATGGACTTCTGAAGAATTTTTAAGAGAAGTAGTCAAATTTGATATTAAGCTCCTACATGAATAACATTTTGAGACAAGAATATTTTTTCATAAGCAGATTATATTAGGTCCGCACAAGAAATCCTAGAATGGTAGTCTTGATTTAATGAAAAGAGTTTCTATAGCTTTTAGACTGTAGTTAAAATGTGATCTGCTCAAGATGGAAAACATGACCATGTTGAAGGATAAAGCACATACTTGATTTTTAATAAGATGTTTTGTGATTGCAGGCATGGATGTATTAATAGACCTAGTATATTATTGAAATGGGTATGTTTTCTTCAGGTTTTCACATTCTTTTTAACCAGTGTACATATTCATTTTATTTATTTACCTCAATCAAGCTCTAATGAATGAGGAGCTGTAACCGGCTAGCTCATTTTTTTTTTTTTTTTTTGGTGTGGTGGGGGATGAATTTTATTTTTTTATGCATTCCTATTTTTGTACTAACTATAGTACTTGGGTTTTCTTGAATCTTGGCTCTTTTTTCTTTAATGTTCATTTTTATTACTAAAATTTGCCATAAGGAAGATGTAGGAGAAACCTCAAGGAATTTAAACAAAATATTTCATGAACAGAAAAAGGATCTTCTACAAAACAACACATTAGTTCCCCACTGTAATGACTAATTATAATTTCAATTTAAAAAATGCTACTTCAATTGAAAGAGAAAACAATTTACTAAGAACAAAATGTATAGAAAGTGCTTGAATTTCTAAATTTTCATTGAATAATTTACATTATTGAAGAGAGGATTTATATTCTATAATTATGAAGATGAATTACATATGAATTTTTCATTATATATATATATATATATATATATATATATATATATATATATATATATATATATATATGATTATTATTATTATATTGCTGTAGATTAGATGATGATGATATAAATTTTGATTTAATTTCAATTTATTTCACTAGCTGTCACTTGTACTTCCCCCACCTATTGCTGCTCATTGTACTGACAACTTGCTTCTTCCTTTTCTTCCCCCACTCCTCTCTTCAATAATGTAACTCCCCAGGAAAACTTTTCTAGCTCAAGTAATTTAGGCATTTACTTCCTTTTCTTTTGTGATTTAATTTTAAAATAATTTTTAATAAATTGTCTGGATAAATTCAAACTATTCTGTAATTTTGGTCTGATGAGGCAGATATTAAAAAATTTATTACTGAATTCTTTGAGGTGTCAAGTTTTTTCATTCTTGATTTACATCATGTTGCTCTGTATATATATAAATACATTGAGCTCATTTCATGGATCTTTTTAATATTCTATATTAAAAAGACCTACTTGGATTAGCCTTACCACTGATGGATTTGAGATATATATATATATATATATATATATATATATATATATATATATATATATATACATACATATATACATACATACACACACACACAGGGTGTCCATAAAGTTCATGTGCACTTGAAAAAATTTATAACTTTATTTGTATTTGCGATAGAAATAATCTGTAAAAAAATGTTATAAAGTTTAATGTACCTAGTTTTAAGTATAGCTAAAATAACTAATATGATTTCAGGCATTACTGTAAATCAGTTGGCAAATGTTTTCCGTGAACTGCAAAATCCTATTACCTTTTGTATTGCTAATGATGGAGGGCAAACTCAAATAAAGAAACTTAAATAAAATTTCAATAAAACCTTAAAAAATATAGATTTACTTCTTTCTAATCCTTTCTACAAATTATTTCTATTGCAAATACAAATAAAGTTATAAATTTTTTAAAGTGCACACGAACTTTATGGACACCATGTATTATCTTAAAGAAATTTGACAAATGGAAAATGTTTCATTGAAACTAGATTTGATTATACATTTTGCCTTTCTAGGCTTCATCAGATCCAAAAACGAAAGAAATGTATGCGTAAACGCTTAAATAATGTGTTATAGTACTTTTGACGTGTTTCACCTGCAATTTACGACATATGTTCATGCAACAAATTTATTATAATTTTCATTTCAGTGAATAATTATGTCTTCAGTTTAAGTTTTCATTTAATGTATAGTTGAATGGAGATTACCTGTTACATTATTTTTTCAGCAGTACGGCAATATTCTACAAAATTATAAAACTCTAAGCATTTTTGTATTGGGGTTTGTAAACACCGGAGTGGGCTATCTATTTTCCAATATCCAAGGTGACTATTGCAAGGTTAAGTAAGATCAAAACAAAAAGTGTTATCTAAATGCTAATCTCCAGGTGTGTGACTCATTGTGTCTTCAAGTCTTGATTTAATGTATATTATAACGGAGATTGCCTGCTATGGTATTTTTTTTCAACAGTATGATAATATTTTCCATAATTGTAACACTATAAGCCTTTTTCGCATTGTAACCCATTTCACCTTCTGGGATTAATGTTCTCTGCTGACATGAAATGGAAAGATTATATTGAATCAATTGATAAGTCTACTGCTAGGAAAGTTGAAACATAGTGCTAGACAATTTTCCTCTCTAGAATCTATCTGACATATGTATAAGTCTACTATTCTACCTTGCTGTGAATATTGTTGCCAAATCAGATGTGGTGTTCCTGCCATAGAGATTCTTCATAAAATCCAAAGAACATGCACCTCAGATTTAGTCATGTCTGTGCCATTTCTATTAATGAACTTTTCCGTTATGGTACCTAGATCTTATGACTTTAAGCATAGTATTAAATTGGCAGAAAGGTCGCATCGTTTTACAGCTGAACTGGCTAGATGTAACCATATGTTCTATGCTAATAGTTTCTTTTATCGCACTTCTCGCATGTGGAACTCTTTCAGCTTCTTGCTTCCCAGTCAACTTTGATCTTTAGAAATTTAAATGCACTGTCAATTATCTTCTGTCTCCTTAATTCCTGTCCTCTCTCCTTAATAGTGTTTTAATTTTCATATTGTCTAACAGTCAGTAACTCCTTGTGTCTTAGTGGCTTTATTGCCTTGCTTAGGGTGAAAGGATTAAAAAATAAAATGGCTCAGCTGTCCATCTCCAAAGTGCCTTTGAAATTAAAATTGGTTGATCAATAAGTAGAATTCAAAGCGAAATAAAGAAGAATTACATCTTTAAGATATGCAAATTTTTACTTAAGTAGAATTTTGGTAGAACAATTTTGTAATAGAAGATAGAGACAAATTCTATCAAGTTAACCTGTTAATGTTGACTGTCCCAAAAATGAGACTGTTGGCATTAATGGATTATGATTAGTACTAAAGTTTTTATTTTTAGAATTAGTACCAGATTTTACAGTCGATATTAATCCATATCTTTGTGATCTCAATTTAAACTGATGCCATTTTTTTTGTATTTTCTTGATCTCAGATAAAATCTTTGAAAATTTCCAAAATATTTCAGTGAAAATTTCACTTTCCTAAGGTATAGTTTGAAATTATATATATATATATATATATATATATATATTATATATGTATATAAATAAAAAGAAAGAACAGTAAGATATAAAATCCGGTGTTCTTATAGATATTTTTATTTTTACAAAATAGTGCTCAATGTAAATTTACAGAGCATTAATATTATAAATTAATTGATTTAAAATATGTTTTTTTTTTGCTACACAGTTCCAACCATGTTTCAAAAATAGAAGCTAAAAACCCCGAATTTAATTTTGCAATTAAATTAAAAGCATTAGTTCCATTTCATCTTCAAGCGAATTTTGGAGTAACTTTTAAAAATTACCGGGTTTTAAAGACACAGCTAAAATCACGTTTCCATGGTTACAGAATATTCTACTTAAATTGAACAAGGGATGTCTAGATTTTCTTTATGTCAGTATCATTGTATCAGTTATTAGCTACAATTTGGTAAGGGGTAGGGATGTATTTTACAATGAAACCTGACATCATTTGAATGGATGTCGTCTGGTTTAAAAAAAAAAAAAAAAAAAAAATTGTTAACGGTAAAAAAATTCCAACGTCATTTTTTAAATTTAAAGATTTTCGGGTTTTTTTTGTTTTTTTTTTCTTCTCCTTTTTTCCCAATACTTTTTATTTAACTATATTCTTTTTAAGAACAGTTAAATGTATTAGAGCCCATTATATTATGTAGGATTATTTTAACATCAAGTTTAAGTATGTATATGAGGTTACATTTTTTTTTTTTTATATATATTATATATATATATATATATATATATATATATATATATATATATATATGATGGACTCTCCTGTCGTTTTCAACATATGAGTGTCTTTCAGTTCAGTTTTTATGTTTATGTTTTGTATGAGACAACAACCCGGCAAGGGATTTGCAAACAAATCCATATGAAGAGCATTACTAAGGGTTGACCATTATATGGGCTGATGTATTAGAAAAAACTGGTTAAAAATCTTGTTTTTTATGCATGAATAGTGTAACAAATTTTAGCACCCTTTTTTTCTTGCCAAAAAATCAAATGATTATTAGATTTTAATAAAAACTTTCGGTGCTTTATTTTTGAAATAATCATTTTTAGAAAATCTTGGTAAAATTATTTTTTTTAAGACATCTGTTACCCCCACCACCATCAACTTAATTTCATAAAATTTCTAGAAATTAAATTCCATCCTCCAAATTTGTTTTATTAAATAAATGCAGGTCTCCTTGGAGAATCTAAATCTATTCATTTTTTTTTTTCAAACAGTGACTGCTTTCCTGAAAATCTGCTCTGAAAAGTAAAATAAAAACTGAAATAAAACTATCTAATTATTTAATCAGATAAGCTTTTAATTGCTTCTATAAATAATATATATTAAAGACATTTGTATGTATATATAAATAAAAAGAAAGAACAGTAAGATATATAATCCGGTGTTATATATATATATATATATATATATATATATATATATATATATATATATATATATACACTTCTGGCACCTAAAAGAATCAAATAAAACACCTACAGTAAAATGGAAGTTAATAAGAAAAGCTAGAATATGTAGGTCATTAAATGACCCATGTCCTTTGTGCATACATGAGAAACTATATATTATTAAGTTTATAAAAATAAAAATTTACTGAATCAGAGAAATTAAATATCTATTTTGTGCCATCATTGTCAAAAAATTTTCCTTAAATAATATTTAAAAAATAAAATTAAAAAAGTGCAACCTGGTAATATACATACTTATATTAGATGTGAAAAAATAATTTTATATACTGTAAGAAATTCTATTACATTTACTTGTTTTATATAAAAATAAAGACTATTAAAATTAACAGTGAAAAATAAAATTGTTTTTAAAATTTGTTAAATAAAATTTTAAAATCTTTTTAAAATTGTAGTTAAATAAAATGAATTCTAACCTAAACATCTTTTAAAATTGTAGTTAAATAAAACGTATTCTAACCTAAACACCTCTCTCAAAGTACTACAAGTACTTAAAAGAATCCAATAAAACAACTACAGTAAAATGAAATTAATAAGAAAAGCTAGAATATGTAGGCCATTAAATGACCCATATCCTTTGTACATATATGAGAAACTATATATTACTAAGTTTATAAAGAATAAAAGTGTACTAAATCAGAGAAATTAATTAGCTATTTTTGCCATCATTATCATAAATTTTACTTAAATAACATTTAAATATAAAATTTAAAAAAAAAAAAAAGAAAAGTGACCTGGTAATCTACATACTTATACTTGATATGAAAAAATAATTTTACATTCTGTAAGTAATTCTAATACAATTACTTGTTTTAAAAAGAAATATAGTCTATCAAAAATTAAAAGTTAAAATATTTTAAAATTAAAAGTGAAAATATTTTAAAACGTATTCCAACCTAAACCTCCCCCAAAAATCTTTGCGTATACAAATAGAAAAAATGCTGGAAGAATTTTTGCCATTAACAATAAAATTTTATTAAAAAAAATCCAGACGACATGCATTTAACGGATGTTAGAATTCGTTGAAAAATACATCCCTACCCAAACATAACCCCTTTTTCAAATGTAACTAATAACTGATACAACAAAAGTTAATAAAATGAACATGCAACCATCCCTTGTCTGGATGAATGGATTTCTCTGTATCCTTGGAAAATGTAAATTATGATTTTTGCCATGCCTTTAAAACCCAGAAAATTTAAAATAAGTTACTCCAAAATTTGCTTGAGGATGAAATGGAAGTAATGTCTTTAATTTAATTACAAAATTAAATTTGAAGCTTTTAGCTTCCATTTTTGAAACATGGTTAGAACTGTGTAGTGAAAAAAAACATTTTAAATCAGTTAATTTATAATATTAAAGTCATTGTAGTCTGAAGAAAAAAAATTTTTTTTATGAATAATGAATTTTTCATTTTTTCAAAACTTTGAGCTCATTAAGTTATTAAGTGAAGCCTATATTTACTAAGCAAAAACTGAAAAGCTTAATACAAATCATCATGTACTAAGATTTTTAAAATAATTTTTAATTTTTTTATGTGTATAAACATGCTCATTTTGAAAGTATGGGTGACTATACACAACAATATCAGAAAATAAGATCAATGACTATATTAAAAATTTAAAGTCAACATTTCTAAAATTAAATTACAGAGAATATTTCCAACATTTTTAAGATTACTGAGTACTTAAAAATTATATGAAAAAGTGTTCACCCATCATTTTAAATTATGTTTTAACAGATAAAGTCTCCATAGAACAACCATAAAACTGTCAACACCTTATCAGTGCTTGTTAAATGATTGACAGGCAATAAAAGCACGTAAATCACAAGCTCTGTTTGCTTTAAAAAAACATTTTTATGTCATTTTCATCTTAAAGTAAACAACATTTTTTTCAAATCAGATTAATTATACTTTAAATCCGCTAATATTACTCAAATAAAGTTTTATAAGAGTATACTTTATTTTTGGAAGATTTTTTCAATAAAGAAAAATTCATTGTGACGACAGATGGCTAAAATAGGGCACTAATCAGCTATTTTTAGCTAAAAAGACTTCAATCAATAGAATTTTCGTTTGAAATACATGACAGAGTATTTTGCATACTGGAGATAGAAAATTTAATCCTTTAGCTTTCAATTAAAGCTAAAATGAAAGCTTTTAAAAATTCATTTTAAACTTTAAGTATAGCAAATTAGTAGAGGTACCTGTAATCTGGCTCTCAGGTAACAGATCTGCACTGTGTCCCTTCAGGATATAGATGATAATGGCTCTCCACAACTTCCTGACATAAAGTGGAAAATGCTGTCTGCCTACACCTATTTTTTTTTCTTATCTCCATGGTTAATCAATAGTTATAGCAATAAACACAGAGGTATTCTGCTTGATGTTCCTGTTATCAATTTAGCAATTTTAGTAGTTTTTAACCTTTATCAATCTGTTAGCGACTTCATTTGTTGTGCAAAAGGTTTATTTTGCCACTGAAGGTGACTCTAATCCCTGAATTTAAATTTGTTTGAATTTCATAGTTATGTTGTCATATCCTGCTATGTCAGCAGAAAACAAGTTTGAGCAAAACTAACAATAAGGATACTGCAATTGAGAGGCCTTGAAAAAAGAAGGAAATGTAATGAGAAGTAATATTAATGTAGTGTGTTAAAGAATAATGAAAAATAAATAAAAATACAAAAAATTTTTTTTTTTTAAATTGCAATTAATAAACTACATAAAACTGTAAAAATCAGCTGAATACCTACTTGAACCTTGGATGATTTTAGTAACTTCTTCATGGTCAGGCAATTTTTTAATTGCCCCATTAATTTTATCTCGGACAGCCAAAGCAGAGGCAGGCCAATTTTGTTGGCAATGGCGCCGGCTTATTAACCATTCTGAAAATTACAGGAAAAAAAAAAGAACAGAAACATCAAAGGCTTTAAGTTATGTATGTACAAAGCTTTTAAAAAGTCGGGCTGTAAAATACTTCTAAAGTTAATATGCATTTTTTTTTTAATAATTTTTAAATGTAATACAGTTACACTCAGAATGAGATAGTGTTGGTAAACAAGCCTCAAGTAATACAACAATTAGGTAGCTTAGTGGATTAAAACATTGGTTCATGAATTTTGTGATATAGTAATTGTGAGTTCAATCCCTGGACCAGGTAGTGTGTATCAGAATTCAGTGGAAATGGACAAGCAATAACTGAGCAGTACTAAGATTAGGAAATACCCCTAGACATTTACATAGATTAAATAAAGGGTACTGTTTGAAATTCTCTGTAGGTTATCCTGATGAAGGCCAGAGGACACAATGGCTGAAACAGTGATAACAACAATAAAGATGAAGACAATAGTCTACATGTACATACACCCCCCCCATTCTGGAAAGGTTTTAGATTTATTTATTTTATTTTATTTTTTTTAAATGTTCCTAGTGTGTATAAGCTGTCACAACTGGATTAAAGAAACTGACCTGCATTCAACAAGCTCAAATCTACCCTGTAAACATCATCTCTCAAAGTCTCACTGTTTATGTGACTACCTTTATTTGCAATGATGTCATCATATATTATGGTAGAGTATACATGGGGTGGGTTATGGTGGCTTGAACATTGGGTACCGATGTTTACTGAAACCAAACAGCATTACTGATATGTCTTTTCTGTCTTTCCCTATGATCAAAATGGAATAGGCCATTATTTATGAGGTATTGGCAGGGTGTAATGTACACACTAAAGAACAAAGGAACAACATATGTACAAACATAGCCATGTTTTCTTTTTGGTGGGGGCAGGACCACAATTAATCTCATAACAAAGCAAGGTGGGTCATGCCCAAATAAGAATTTTGTTATGGAATGCAAAGGACAGGACCAAAATTGTCAGCAAGTGACTTGTGAGTGGGGCATTCTGATAGTGATTGATAGTCTGGGTTTAGAATATAACTCCAAAATGGCACAAATTCAACAGAGGATCTAAAGAATTCTGACACGTTGATATGTCTCCCACACCCAGGTTTGCAATTGGCTTATACCACTCACAGAGGGATGCTAAGTACATGTGAAATATGCATTCCTGTTATAATCCAAGCTGCCAGTGTTAAAAGGAATACCAAAAATAAATGACTCTTTTTGTTGATACAGTTTTTATTAATAGTGTGGGGGACCCGAGATAACACAGAACACAACAATTTTTTGTCATAAAGACTTGAGGCAGGTTTTACAATGTCAGATGCTCTTCCTGTGACCAAACTCAGACACTCTGGGTAATATCGAGGAGGGTTGCCATTCAAGGTTTGAGACTATATTGTTTTAAAGATGATGGAGCACATTCTTTAAAAGGAACCTTTTTTCTTCTAACACTGCTTTCAAAAGATTCACTGGAAACAACCCAAACCCAAACATACAAAAAAAAACTTAAAAGGTGAAACTGAACAATGTTTGAGGGGGAGGAGGTATAAAGAGCCACGACTAAAAACTAAATTTATTACTAAAACAATAAACAATGTAAATAAGTTTCAAGTGAGCATAAAACAAAAAATCTTCATGACCCATCCATGAGACACAGATAATGAAGAAAGTTTTCCTGCTGCCTGAATAAAATCGGTCAATGAAACTTGAATAAACACCTTGTAAAAAACATAAATGTTTAGCCAACTGAGCTTTGTGCAGTAGCTTAAAAGCTTTGTCAGAATATTTCAAAGCACAACCCGGGTTGTTCGCCAAATGTAGTCCAATCACTGACTCAGAAACCAACTTTATATATATAATACATAAAAGGTTAATGGTCAGATTTGAATCAGACCAGAAAACAGTAGTATTAAAAAATGCTCAATAGACATATGAAAAAATAAAAGTAAAAATAATATGTCGAGCTTTTAACTTAAAAAATCAGGTCAGTTGAATCCGCTACTTTGGTTTCAATCTTACAGTATCCTCAGGTGATTTTTATCAAATAACCTCTTGACACTTTATTTTTTTAAAAAAACTAATGAACATTTTTTTTTTTAAATAAATAAACAAACACACAGCATTGGGTGTAATAGAAAGGGAGGAGGAGGCTGTAAAGAAGAAGGGGGAAGAGAAGAAAATCAAGAGTATTATAAATGTATCAGTGGTGGTGGGGGGGTAACTGAAATGCATTTTTTTTTTTTATTCAGCCTCATATGTGCTTGAGGAATTTCCTAATATGTAAGAAAGGACTCAAGACTTCGTATTTCTGGTTCAAAAGCACATATACATGCATTTACACACACATATTGGGGAGGAGGTCAAATGCCCATCCATGAAAATGCAGAAAAGTGTATCAAATTCAAAGATCACAATGTACAGATTGCTTTCCATGTGTAATAGATATTTTAAATAAAAAAAAAGTAGTCAAATTAAGCATTTGTCCATTAACCTTTATCACTCTGTATCTGACTTCATATACTGTACAATTTATTCTGGCACTGATCTGGTTCTGATCAATGAACAATAGTGTGTTTGAATTTCATAGATGTGTTGTTATATCCTGCTATGGCAACAGGAAACAATTTGTAGTGAAATTAACAATAAGGATACAGTAATTGAGAGCCAATGAAGGCAGTAGAAAGAGAAGTAATATTAATAATGCCGGGGGCTAAATATTAAACATTTGAAAAATAAATAAATAAGAAAGAAGCCTACACTAATGTTACAATTCAGAAAATGCAACGTTTCTAAAATATGAAGCTCAAAAGACATACCAGTTAGTTTATTGTAATGGATATCAATAGGAAGGTCTTCATAGTTCATTTTCTGAGCCATGATGATTTCAAAAGGTGGCGTGTCTGGAGAGAGAAAAGAAAAAAATATTAAAAACAAGAGCCTAACATTAGAGAATAAAAAAACAAAAATCATTCACATGTAGATAAACTGATTAGTTTGCAGCCTAATAAAGCTGAGATGGAACCATTGTCATACAACAAATACTTTTCAACTATTTTATACTTTGTCAAGGCACTTAATATAATGCATCTCCACAGTTCACACAAACCTGATCAGTACTTAGATAGGTGACTGCTTGGGAATACCAGGTGTTGTAAGCTTCGATATTTAACGATGCAATAGGGGAATTTTTTCATGGGTATTTTATAGTTGAGGATTTTGCTTATTCAATCATTAACTTAAAAATTACAATTAATCAGAAAATTCAAATAGTAAAACTGTTAAATTTTCTTGGTTACTACTAGTAATAATGGCTTGGAATTATTAATTGAAGAGCCAAGTTCCAATTCTAGTTGGATTTGTTATATTCACTTACACACAAATACCCTTAGGAAAGCTATGAATTAATTTCTTCTCCCCATAGATATGGGCTAATTAGTAAGACCTGTATTGCTTAAACATTATTATATATAATAAAAAAAATTATGTACAAAATATTTAGATTTTGGCATTAAACAATCCATAGAGGTGTTCATATGACACTAAACAAAAACAACCAAACCAATCCACAAATCACATAGAACATACATAGCTGATCATAACTCTCCACAGCTTTCTTTTCTTTAATATGCAAACAGTGTATTAACTTGTCTGTTCTTGAGAAAAATAATGGAATCATTTCCTGTTGCCTTCTCCAGTTTTGTCCTTCTAAACTGGTTACCCTATCAAAACTAAAGAGTCCAATCTGCCATAATATTTCCCCAATCACTGGAGGAGAAGAGATAAATTCAGGTTCATGCCTTTCCCAATTGCATTAGCATGAAATGAATGAAACAGCCTTGGTCAAAATTTGAACCCAGCCCAACAATTTCATTTTTGATACCAATAATAAGCATTATGCTGCATACATATCCAGACCAAACATTATACAGTGAAAATTTCTGATCAAAGTTTAACTGATAACAGTGTCATCCTCACATATCTTGCTTGCTAAAAGAAGAACTTTTAATTTTTGCAAATAAAATTAAAAGATGGACAAGCATGCACAAGGCAAAATTTCAAATGAAAAATCAATTTTGATGGATTGATTTGTTTTCTATGAGTTATCAACCCTTTGCAGGTTATTTAAAGCCAGAAAATATTTTTAGATTGTAAGAATTTTTTTTTCGAGATAATGATTTAATGAGAGAGTTCTTACTAATTAACCCATAGTTGGGGAAGAAGAGGTGGATTCATACTGTGCATAAATGAATATAACAAACTGAATGGGAATTGGAGCTTGGGTTGCTGAAAAATCAATTTTGAGCAAAAATTTGGAAAACATTTAAAAAAAAAAAGAATCTCTCTCGATTATAAACACACACACAAAGAAAGAAAATCAACCTAATATCAATAATTAATGTGTAGATTAATTTTTAACTTAGTATAAAAATAATGAAAATAAGAAAAATCTGAAGTCAGTTGCTGAAACCTTCTGACGTGACGAGTGGACTGAATGATTAAAATGGTTTATACCAAAATAGTGTTACGTCTAGTGGTTTGGGTAGAGAAATCTGCAAGCTGAGTTCAAATTCTGGTTAAGTTCATTGCATTCACTTTTACATACTCAACTGCTAAGTAAATTGGATCACTGTATCATGCCAAACAATTTTTTCTCCAGAACCTATCTCAAATAAGACTACTATTCATCCATGTTTTGAATTTTGCTGCCATAAATGGTCTGGTGTGTCTGCTATATATTTAGAGATTCCTGATACAATCTAAAGAATAATCTTCAATGTTATTGGTCCTGACCTGGCTTCAGTCCCTTTCCTACAACATATGCCTTTTATATAAACATTTTCATAGTAATTATTCTGATGAACTTTTCTCTATGTTATCTAGACTTTATGAATTTAAGTGCAGTACATGATTGGCAATATGATCTCATCATTTTACATATGAATTGGCTCAATGTAACCGTAAGTTCTTTGCTGACAGTTTCTTCTATCACACTTCTCATCTGTGTCCCTTCTCATAGTTTCTTGCTTTTCAGGCAACTTTGATCTTCAAAAATTTAAATGCAATGTCAATTATTAGTTTGCTCTTTTATTGTTCTCTTTTCTTAAGAGTTTTTTCCTTTTTTCTCATATTGTCTAAGACTTGGTAACCTTTTGGGTCTTAGTGGCTTCATTGCCTTGTCTAGGATGAAATAATAAAAAAAAACCCTTGGAAAAGGTATAAATCTATCTCTTCCCTCCACAACAAATAGCAAGGCAGAGAGTTCTCTAGCCTTGATTGTAAACCAGTCTAGGAGGATAACACTGAATTCAAAACTGGTTGGTTTGCTAAACACCCAATCTTCCAGCAGCCTGCTTTACACTGGGAGATGTGCTAGCCTGAAAAAATAATGTACACTGATTGAAATCCTTAAGCCTAGCTGGTCATGCAGTTTGCCACAGGCAGAGATAATTTTTTTTTTTTGTACCAAACACATGATGTTGTCTAGCTGGCAAAGGAGAGGAATTTGACAGATTGGTGAAGAATGTGGATGAAACATCCTTCAGATATGGCAAGGAGATAGAAAAAAAAACAAAAAAATCCCCACTCATGATGAATGAGAAAGTGCTTCCAGCAAGATAAGAGTTAGAGGTCAGGAACTTAAATGAACTATTTATCAGTACACTCATGTCACAACCGAATATGACACAAAGTCAGCTTAAAGAAATGATTCCTAACATGGGACGCATGCCCCACTCGTGAAGCATGGTGATATTTTGGTGGAGCATGCATAGGATGTGCACCCTTCTTTTGAAGGGTGTGGGTAAAGGGTGTTATTATTTCATACACATGCTATAATCTTCCTAAACCAGATCTTCTTGATTCATGTTACACAAATTTCCACCACTGGCTGGATGTGAATGCTCTGAAACCCAAGACCGAACTAAAAATTCCATCAAACACGCATTGGCTCTGCACACACCTTCCACTCTCACCTCCCAAAAAACATACAATTCAATTTTTACCCAATAGCATCCACTCCCGCCTAAAGAAGCAAAATAGGAATTGGAGCTGATCTGAGCCCACGAAAGGACTTAAAAGCCCATCAAAGAGACATCTTAGGCAGTCGGTCAGCACAACAGCCAGGGTTCACACACTTGTCAGAACGCCATCTCCACACCCAAAGACAACTGGTCTCCCATCTTCAAGGACAACTCACCAAAACCTGTTGCCACAGTAAGTCACTACTCACCCTCCCTCTACCACTGTGGATGGCTTTACTTATCTCTTTCTTTCAACGAAAGACTTTCACACCACTTCACCATTCATTTTATTTTTTGTTAATACAATTATTTATTTCTTAAACCTGTTGTTTCTTGTTTCTACCACAATACGCTTAGTATAACACTCAATCCCTTGTTTAATTTTAAGGGAATTTGGTACTGCTCTTGGCAGGGGTTCAAGATAAAATATTCTCCTAAATTGGTTGGGGTATTGTATGTTGTTTAGACTGTATCTTGGGAACATACATACATACATACATACAAAGTTAGAGTCTTAGTATTATTATACTATATTTAAAAGATCACTATTTGTTTTTTTTATGCCATGGGACTGATAATAATGATCTACTGCTTTAAACAAACATTCCGCCATGAAATTTTTTAAATCTCTGAATTTCTGGGATGAGGAGTTATCATTACATGATTTACATTCAGACTATTGTCCTCATCACAATGTTTTGGCTGAGAACTAGACAAGATATTCCTAGATGTGGGCAGTGGAACAAGAACAGTCTGCCCCTGTGGATTAAATAAAACTTAAAAGGGTTCAGTTTAGAATTCCCTGTAAGTTACCCAGATTGATACCTGACGAAGGCTGGATGGCACAACAGCTGAAACGTGATAAAGATGAGGACAACAGTCTGAATATAAATAAATTTGATTTAATCAACTCGGACAAAATAAACATACTGCTAATAAAATTATTCAAAACTGTTACTAGAGAATGCTCTCTGGCACTATAAATAGTCTGTGATAATTTTATTTGTCAACATGTAAGTCCCTCACAGTAAAAACGCGTTCGCATGAACAATACGTACACATACATACACACATACATACATACATACACACACACACACACACATATTCACTCACTTCACATACTTTGGACCAAAGTTTCCATATTCATTTCTTACACACGTCTTTGTTAGTTGTAACCTCTTGTTGTTAATACATATCATTTGTTTGTACATATATATCGCTTCTTGTTGTTTCTTACAGTTTAGGTGGACTCACATCCCGAGTCTGTCATATTTGTGGTGGGTTATTTCAGTAGAAACGTGTTTATCTCTTTAACACATACACAGGCCCCGCAACAAGAGCAGTAGCAATATGTCCAATTTTAAATTATCTGTACTTTAACTGACCGTACTTTGTTTTATCTTTTGTTATTTTTATCTTTTAAATTGACCATTAGATGGGCTGAACAGATTTTTATTTTTTTACAAATGGAGTTTCTGTTTGCGGAAGATCTCAAATATATAGAGAGAAAGTAATAAAACTGATTATGATGGCTTATCCATTTCCGAAAATATGATTTACAGTTGTTAAGATCACAGAAGCAAGTGGCAAGTCCAATTCCAAAGAATAAAAAAAAAGGTTGCATTTTGTTTAGTTTTTGTTAACCTTTCTAAATTTATTGTTAGAGATTTGCAACCATAAGCTTTTTCTCGCATTTTCTACTCGCTAACAAAGAACTTTCTGTTAAGTTCTTATTTATTGATTTCACAACAATAAATATCACTTTCATCTTCCTCCATATTATTCGACTGTACTGATCCCATGGTGAGGGTCTAGAGGTGGCCAGGGTTCCAGTCCAGATTTCTTTTTGTTTTTCACTATCGTCCCGAAATCACATTTTTTTAAAACTTTGCTACTTATAATTTTACTAAAAAATCATTAAATATTTAAGAAATAAATGTATATATATATATATTTTTAATCTATTGTCTTTTCTCCATGCCGTGTAGTCACGACTCCATCACTTGGTCATTGCTTTCCCTGGGTCATACTGCTGAGTCGGATGGTCACGAACGGAGTTTCATGAGGCAGTTAAACGTTTCAATTTATTTTTTTAATAAGCAGAAAATATAACACTATTTTGTTAATGGTTAATTTAAGTTTGTTAAATTAATGGTTAAAAAAAAATTATTTCTAGTTGCAGTGTCTCTTAAAACAGTCCACCGAAATAAAATGTTACCCGGTAAAACAGTTACCGGCATGTGTCTTTTTTATGGTTTAAAAAAAAAAAGCTAGTAAAAATAAAATTATATTTTCTGTCTTTGAGTAATTATTTTATATTTTTTTTAAATCCATTTTTCTCCGTAAGAACGGGTAAGAAACTAAATATAGTGTCAAAACAAGAATTTTTTTAAACAAGTTTTTAATTTACCCTGGATTTAAACACAGGAGTTGAATTAGAAATAAATGTATGGAATACGAAAAGATATTTTGAGATTTTTAATAAAAATACTATAAAAAATAAATTAAAAAAAATTAGAATAAAAAAAAAAAAAAAAAGAGAAAGGTACGGGAGTAAATTAGGATTTTTTTTTTTTAACCAGTTACTTTTTATTTTATTTTACAGTAATTTTGGGAAATAAAACAACTTAAATGTATATAAATAATAAATAAAGAAGAATATTTTGGAATATGTAAACAATTTCAAGATAAAAAAAAGAAGAAAAGCGAGTACTTGTCGGGAAAAAACTTTTTTTTTTTAACTAAACTAAAGTTAACTTTAATTTTTTTTTTTTACATTTCAGTCTGATCTTCAACAAAAATATAATATATACAGACTAGATTTCAATATAAGTAATTATTAATTAAAAAAAAAAATTTTAAATTAATATTAAGCTTAAACAGATTTAAATTGAAAAGACAGATTCACTTTTTGTTGTTTTTTTCCATATGTTTTAATTTGTTTTTGTTAATTAGTGAAACTGATAACAATTTTTACAAGTTGTCAGGAAGACATTATTTTTTAAATTTTATACTGAAACGATTACTTTTCACATTTAATATATTTTTAAATAATAAAATATTATTCAAGAATTAATATTAAAAAAAAGCGAATAACAAATTTTCGGTGATTTCAAACGACGTTTTGTTACGAGAAAAAAAATAACTTGAATTTTATCTTCTTACCCTTTTTTGGATGATTATTTTTCGTGTAAAATCATAAATTATTGAGAAAATACCGCAACGATACGTAGACTTTTGTATACCAAACACAAGTTGAATCTTTAACAACAACTCATCAACGTGGACGTCTCTACAATACAACGGAATTAAAAGATTAAAGAAAAATAGAAAGCTTTCAATGAATCTCCATTGTGTATAAAATAAAATGAGCAATAAAGGGTGTTACAAAAAGTCGGAATTAAATTGATTAACTGAAACGAAACCACAACTATTTGAAAACAATATTAAAAAATAATAAAACAAACATTGACATATATATATATATATATATATATATATATATATATATATATATATATATATAGAGAGAGAGTTGGATTGATGTAGTAAGCAGAAGCTAAGTTAGGTGTCTATCACTGATATTGAGTGGTGTCCAATAATTACCGCTCATAAATAAATAATATAAAAATAGCGTGCATATATATATATATATATATATATATATATATGCATATATATATATATCCTTGTTTGCTGCCAGGTCGTGTAATTTGATAGTTGTATAATTAGGCAGCAATCCTTCCTTTATGCATGTTTCATTAAAAACGACAGACAAGGTAATACGGTTGGGTTAAGCTTTTTATATGAATGAGGAAAAAAATAAAAAAAACATAATGTACATATTAGTCTGACGATAAATGCTTTAATGTAGGAAAATATTGATTCAAGCGAAAACATTTCGTTAGTTTTTTTTTTTTTTTATTTATCAAAAATTGTTTCAGGACAATATGAGTTTAAAAAAAATTAAAAATTAAAAAAGAAAGAAAAAAAAAACCGATCAATTCAAATTTATTCTTCATCAAAGTAAATTTTAAATCCGGCAAAAAGTGCCTTTATGTTTTTTATTTTTTTTTTTTTTACGCGAGAAGTGGTAGTAATTTAATTTTGTCTATATTCCTGGCATGAAGTATTGTAAATTATTTTTATTGTCTTCATCTTTGTTTCCATATTCACGACGTTTCGGCCTTCTTCAGGTGACTGTAATTTTGAACCGAATCCTTTATTTCGTCTACCAGGACCAAGTTTTTGTTTTTACCTCTGCAGTAGCCAGTTATTGAACTCACAACTCTTTGGTTGGATCAAGTCACTGGATCCAACGCCTTTATCTACCCAGCCATGTCTCTTACATGTGGTAGTATTCATTTATGTTAATTTCTCTCTGTCTGTCTTGTCTGTCTGTCTGTCTCTCTCTCTCTCTCTCTCTCTCTCTCTCTCTCTCTCTCACACACACACACACCATTTCTGCCGTTACGCTTGTGGAAGTCACCAAGTAGGGGTTTACAGTTGGATATCATATAACGTTCTTAATCCAAATATACACCAACTAGCAGTAGAGCCCGGCG